CTACAAAAGCCCGTCTGCGGTGCAGCATCACGGCATTGCTTCGAGCGTCTTGCGCGTAGCGCTTTGGCCGTCGGCGTTCTTGCTACAAACGCTGAGAACCATCGGTATACCGATCGATAACCGATATCAAGTGCCCTGCCCGTGAGAGTGAAAAATCGAAAGAACAGACGATCCTTCCCGGCCATCCCAACTCATCCGACCAGTCCTACATTGCGCCTTTGGACCTTACAAATTTTAAACCTGCCAAGTAGTCGTGCCAGAGAGGTTGTCATCCCGTAACTTTTGCCAGTTTCCCTCTAGCCTCGAAGCGTATCTACCAAGATCAACAAATCATCATGTTTCCAAGATTCGGATCTGGAACCAATCTCGGGCGGATTACCGACGGCCGAGCGAGCGAAAAGACCGCGGCATACCTCAGCCACCCAATCGTAAAGTTGCTGGCATTGAACTTTTGCGACGACGTACTTGCCTTTTCCAACTTACTGACGAACGCACACACAGACACACATCTCCCTGACAACCATCGTATAAATACACTTGATTCATCTCAGACTGAGTATCATAAGAAACATGAGTGAGCGAAGGGGGGTTTTGTTAGAAAAGAACACAGCCTTGAATCTCGTTTTTTGGTTTGTTTGACCTGCCCATGCAATGTGTGAGTGTCGTTGGTATGTACGGTCATCTCTCCTAATCCAACCAAACTCGCCGCCCCCCTCCCTTTTCGTCCTTTTTTTCCATCATTCTGTTGCCCCCGGAGACAACCTCTTGACTTCAGAGAAAAAAAAAAACTTCCAAACCCACCATCATCACAACTCTCCTGCTTTAAAAGCGGTGTCTCTTGTCGTTCTTCGCCCTCCAGGCAGTGTAGCCAACGTAGCCACCGCCGACGAGACCGAAAAAGAGGAAGACCTTGAGGAAGAACCACGTCCAGCTGCCGCCCTCCTTGGGCTGCTTGACAGATCCGGAGCCCTTCTTACCCTTGCCGCTGCCCGGCGTCGTCTTGCTGGACCCCTTGCCCGTCTGCGTCGTGTAGAGGTTCTTGGCCTGGATCGAGATGATGTCGTGGTTGTCGCTCAGCTCGCCCGTCTCGGCGCTGAAGCCGAGGTACGCGATCTGCGGGATGGCGGGCGGGCTCTCCGTCTCGAAGCACAGCGTCCAGTCGCCCTCGGACTTGTACTGCAGCTCGAGCTTGAGCTGCTTGTCCTGGAAGTACGTCACCTTGGCCTTGGTCGGCACGCTAGCGTGGCGGATGCCGCGCGCCGAGCAGCCCGCGAGCTCCGTGCCCTTGCCGTCGTTGTCCTTGTCGTAGGCCGTCTTACCGTCGCCGTACATGGCCATGACATAGGGGAACACGGTGCCGGGGCGGTTGTTCTTGTACGTGTCGAAGAAGATACCGAGACCCTCAAAGTTATCCGGGCTGCCGAAGACAGTGCCCTGGGTGCCGCGAGACTTGGTCACCCACATGGCGAAGCCGTCGCCGTAGAGCTGGTTCTTGCCGTGAATCTTGAACTCGACTTCGATCTCCCAGTTGGTCGCGGTCAGAGGCACTCTGCTAAAGAGCCAGCCCGTTTGCGACGGACGGTCGGACGTTAAGCGGATGTAGCTGTGGTAACCCCTTTGTTTAGCCTCTCTTTCTCTTTTTTGTTTTCTTTCTCCCCCTTTTCCTTTTCCTTTTGTTATGGGCGGGATGCGACATACGAGTCTGTTCGAATAATAGTGTCTCCTCCAAAGTCGTACCATCTACTCGCCATGTCGGAATCGAGGTACGGCTACATTGTGAAGAGAGGTCTTAGTATATCGCAGGTCAGGGGGGTGACACGTGGATGCGGGAATCGCGAACCTGGTTCAGGGAGTGCGTTCGGAGCTGCAACACCAAAAGTCAGTTCTCGTCATCTTCTGCAACTTCGGGCAAATTGCGCAATTGATGTGCTCGGAAGTAGTCAACTTACCGCGATGCTCTTAACCTCGCCATCGTCCGCCTTCGCGGCACCCCAGGCCATTGCGGCCAGCCACACGGCCGACACGGATGGCTTGAACCACATGATGAGGAAGGTGCCGAGTCAGAACAGAAGGAAGAAACCGGGGGGAGGAAGGGAAAAGAGAGAAACTGTCGTCGCGCGCGCGTAGAAACAGAAAGGAGGGCCGCCGGGTTGAGGGTGGGAGGTGAAGTAGCCGCGAGGTCGGTCCAGCGACGAAAAGACGTCGTTCGGCACACGAATGGTGGTGGTGGGTTTTGCTCGTGTGTTCTTCCCAGCCGTTAGCTGTCCTCTTTTTTTGGCCGATGGATCCTGATTCCTGGGGTCAGCACGTCTGGAGAGCTACTACCCCTGTCTGAAGGCACTATGGAAGATTCCAGGGGGCAAGGTGCCTCCCAAGAGTGACCTTCGCAACCACCAACAGCAGTGCACTCTAGCTGCTAATTGGCGGGTCGGGCGGTCTTCAGGAGCCCCCTGTCTTCCAATAAGTGAGTTTGTGGCTGAGGCCTAGAGCCTCAGGTGCGAGTGGTGCCTCAGCCACATCAGCCTCGCCTCGATCGCAAACCTTCCGACTTTTTTGTATGCCAATGCCGTTCAGCGAAAAGAATTTCGCCAATTCCAACCACCACCAACCGTCGCAATGGATTCCACCTCGGTCAAGCAGGCTGTCATGAAGCAGGTCCTCCAGGAGGCCAACCTGGCGAACGCTCGCGTTCTCATCGACGTAAGTGGAACCCTCGAAATGTACGTCAACGACAAATCAAATACTGACGTGCAATGTCTTCAACAGAAGCTCCAAGAGAACTGTTTTGAGAAGTGCGTCCCCAAGCCTGGCACCTCCCTCTCTAGCGGCGAGACTACATGCATGACCCAATGCATGGAGAAGTACATGGCGGCATGGAACCAGGTCAACACTGCCTACATCAACAGGATAAAGCAGGAGTCCGGCAACCAGTCTCTGCTGTGATCCAGCCACAAATAAATCGGCAGGAGTAAAAGTAAGGGCTGGATGTTTATGAATGTACTATCACTATACGACCACGAATCGCAAAGGAGGGCATCAACAAGCCCAAGGGATGCATCAGCTTGGGGCGTATATAAGGGCAAAAATCTTGCATGAAGGATTTTCCATCAAAGGCTCTGCATCAAGGCTAGGTACGCCGTGTACAACAGAGGCAATAGAAAGGAAGAAGCATGGTCCACTCTCATAGCCTGTTTTCCCGAAAATATAAAGGGAAACAAGAGAAAGCTTTGTTCTCGGGGGGTATCTTTGATCTTGGTCGCTGGACATCTACTGCTCCGCCAGCCCCTTCGCCTTCGCCTCCTCCGCCTCCCGCTTTCTCGTAAGGTAACGCTCCCTTGCGCTTGAAATCTCCCCGTCCGTCTTCCTCGTCTTCGTGGCCCTCTCCACCTTTTCCTTCTCCATCTCCTCTTCCTCCCGTGACCTCTTGAGCGCCGCCTCCAACTGCGCCTCCATCATCCGCGTCTGCCGCTCGCGCATCGCGCCCTTGCCCCCGGAGCCGACGAAGCCCGACCCGCTGCCGCGATCCGGTCTGGCTTCCCGCGGTCGCGCCGCCTCCTGTCTGACCTGTGCCTCCTTCTTTGCGCCGACGTTGAGGCCGCCCCTGAGCAGCTGCCGCTTGTCCACGACCTGCCCCTCCTCGTTGACGGCAACCGAGCCGCCCTTCTCGTTGATCTCTCGCGCCATGTCGGCCTCGGTCTTCTCTTTCGGCCCATCCTCCTCCTCCTTCTCGGCCCCGGCAGGACCGGCCTTGGCCTTCTCCTCCGCAGCCTTGAGGACCTCGGCATGCCTCTCCTCGCCCTTGTTCAGCATGTTCTTGTAGAACGCGCTCATGCCCCCCGTCTTGTTCTTCTTCGCCTCCTCCTCCTCTCGCCTCTTCTCCTCCTCCTCAATCCGCCTGTTCTCCTCCTGCTGCTTCTTATACGCCTCCGTGACGAACTTCTCCTTGTCGGCGTACTCCTCTCCCTCCGCCTCGCGCTCCCTCGCAATCTTCTTCTCCTCCGCAATCAGCGCATCCCGCTTCCGCACCGACGCCGCCGCCAGCAGGCTGCTCATGTACTTGGGCTTCCTCTCCTCGTCCTCCTTCGTCTCCTTCTTCGCCGGCTTGAACGACTCGTACACCCCGTCGTAGTCATACACGCTGGGGTCCAGCTCCTCCGCCTTCTCGGCGTGTTTGCGGGACGCGAGGCTGCTCGAGAGGTCGCCAAACATTGCGCTTTCCTGTTTCTTCGCTTTCCCATCCGGCGGATGCACCGGCGGCAAGGGATTCTTCGTCTTGGATTTTCTGCCGTTTTCTGATCTCGAGGTTGAGGATGGAAGATCGAACCCGCCTAACTCATTGAGCGTCTCGACTTTGTTCGCTTTATTTGTTGCATCGTCGTCTGAGTCGTCGCCGCCGCCGAATGCTGTTTTCCGTTTTGGCGGGGCCGGCTTAGACGCGCCAGGCTTTTTGGAGAGGTTTAGTCCGAATGACAGTCCTGGTTTGCTCATTTTGGCGGTTCGTTGTTGAGGACGCAAGTTCAAGTTCGAGGTTACCTTACGGAGGCGCGCCTGAGGTAAGGCAATTCCCATTGCGCTGTGCACGGTCCATTCGCGACCCACTCCTGCAGCAGCCCGTTCACCGGGCGCGGCACCGAGCTGCATCCGGAGCGGACCCGGTTGGCCATGCCGATTTATATGATCTGAAGCCTACGAGAATAGGCGTGTGTTCACCAGGACATTGCAGATGGGTATTGGCAATTGGTTGTATAGTTCGTTGCAAGAGTCTATGAAAAGTAAATCTATCTCGTACACGTACGGCGGTCTCGCCGCTATTACAACATGTCTATACAGGGAAGTGCGCGAGACTGGTCAAACTTCCGTCTCATCCTCTGGCGCGGGATCTCAAGCCGAAACTCCTAGCGATATGTTCTCCCCAGCTCTTGGTAGAGACTCGAATTCGACGAATGATGATCCAAAAGAACAAAAGGAAAAGGATGGCTCCAGGCAACCCCTAGAGACAATTACAGTCTTACGCGGCCTTCTCCGCCAAACCATCGGCGAATGTCTGACTCGACACCACCACCGTTGCTGCTGCTGCCTGGTTCGTCGTCATCGCCACCCATCCATTTGGGCTTCTTGATGTCCTGGAACCATTGCGGGGCCTCGAACGTGTCAATTGTGTTCTTCATGCGGTGACCGAGAGACTCAAAGAAGTTTTCGTCTTCGGGCTCCTCGTCCTGGTACGGTCTTGTGCGAGACGCTTGTCCAGGCTGGCGATCATGCGTGGCCCCAACAGGCGACCTCGCTGGAGACGCTGCCGCGCCAGTGCGTGCCCCTGGGATGGTCAAAACAGGTGCGGACCTTCCGCCAACTTCAAGCCGTGCAAAAGCTTCCTCTCGTCGTCGCAAGGCAGAGTTACCGCCTAGTTCACGCTCGATCAAGTCTCTGCCCTCTCTCCAAGACCCGGTTCCAAACACCCTGCCATCGCCCTCATCATCATCCATGAAGTCCCCGCCGAACCCGAACATGCGCTTAATCTTGCCATACAGGCCGAAAAGAGTGGCAGCAACGGGGACGAGAACGAAGATGGGGAACAGGTAGTCGGCCCAGCGACCCATGGGGGTGAAGTCGATGAGTTGACCGAGGAACCCGTAAAACCGTGTCTTTGAGTAAATGGATTCAGACAAGAATGTCATGAAGTTGTAGGACAGAGGGACGCTCAGCTTGGCGACCTGGCCAGCGTACCAGAAAGCCGACTCGTAAGCCGTATTGCGTCGGACAAGAGCACGTCCTCGCCACGTCTTCACCTCGGTCATGGTGGTAAAGGTAGCTGCGCACATGTACAGAAGCCAGAGCACCGAAATAACTTGACCGGCGAAACCGACCTGGCCCTTTTCGCCGACCCAATGATGAACAACTGTAAGGCGGATGACTGACAGCTGAGGGAATGCAGCCTTAATCACCTCAGACCAAACAATCAAGGCCGAGGCCACCGCCAGAAATGCTCCGAGAAAGATGGCGCCGTACGATTCGCCGTGATAGTAGTACAGGTATCGGGTATATGGTGTATGTACGGTGAAGCGGTCCCAGAATCCCGCGTCGGGTGACGGCGCACCGAACTCGAGCTTCTTGGAGGCTGCAGAGTCGAGAATAGCTTGTGTCTCTGCGGCCTCCTTCAAAAGATCGTTCCATTCGTTCACGTAGCGGGACCGCGCATGTCGAGCCCGCATCAATTTCCTGGACAAATCCGCCATGAACTTTTCCGTAATGACAGTCGGCAGAGAACGGCTCTCGACAGCCACGCCCATCGTCGACCTGGGATGCGACTCTGGAAGGTTGGCGCTCTCGACGAGCTCGTCGATCCATTCGCTGAACTTGACGGCGCTTCCGGTCTTTCGGCGGCCCAGCTCTGACACCTGCAACTCGACATCCTCCAGGTTCAGTAGGGAGTCCTCCATCTTCTCATACAACTTCGGGGCCCGAATCTGTAATCTCCGCAGTCGCCCACTGATAGACGAGTATCGAAAGAGCCGTCGGGGTATCGAAACAAGACCGTGACCCATTAGGTATATCGCAAAAACCAAACCGTAAAAGTATGCAAGCGCCATGAAAGAGGTCTTGAGTGTCGTAATGCTAGGTTGGTATCTAATGAAGAGGTACGCAAGGCCGACACCAGCCGTGCCGAGAACCATGACGTGGTACTGTGCATTCTGTCGGAGTGAATACTTGAGGCTGTCTTGCGGTTCGCGGTATCCAGAGTCGGAGTATTCGCCCAGGATGGGAAGAATAAACCTATCGCAAAAAGCGTCAGTATATGGCACACACACAACAAAGGGGCAAAATTCCATACCATGTCAACGCGAACGTCAGCCAGTAAGTGATCCTCCACGAAACCAACAGCATGCGCTGGGGAAGCCAGACGCCGCGGGTTGCCTCATCGTCGGTTCTCGCGCTCGAAGCCAGGTCGATCGGGACTAACAAAACCATGCATGCGGGCAGCCATAATGCGAAAAAGATCGGCACAAGATAGAATGCCGGTGTGGTTCGTAGAGGCAGGTAGTGGCGCAGAATGAAGAGGACGATGACTGAGATGGAAAGCAGCGCAAGAAGCGCAAAGATTTCAGAGGGCACTGGCGACGATGCGCTCACGATGTGTAACATGTTGTCGGCAATGTCAGGGGCGTGTCCATGGGGTGCGGTGCGATGCTCGTTTCGACCTGTAGATGCTGTGATGCTCTTTAATTCGTGATCATCGGGAGCTGGGGCTGGAAGAGTCGGCGTTGGTGAGATTTGGCGGGCGGACGAAAAGTTCGCAACGCGCAATGGAAGAAGGAGGGTGCCGTAGAGAAGTGAGGTACACCATTGTAGGCTCCCGGATACCAAGGAGCGCCCTCAGCAAAGTGTTTTGACAGGGACAACCACACAACCGCTGCGCGAACAGGGTCATGTGCACGGGCCCGGAGTGTTGGAAGGTCCGCAAGCAAACAGCAAGGTGCCTTATCTCGAGGGCGGTTTACGTCATCTGCACGGCACTCTCTGGAATCCACCAGGCAATGCACGCTCCATTTTAATTGATGAAGACTTGCGAGGCCCAATTTTGGCTCCCGACGGGTCCGCTTTTTGCCTCTTGGAGTTGGACAGCCCGTTCTGGTCCAGTCCTGATCAAGTTCCCAACCCTCTGTTCCTGGTGGTGGTGGTTGAACTCGCACACGAGGTTGATGATCTCCAAAGTTTCTCTCACACATTGCCCGGCCTTTCCTGGATCCAGTATTGCCTTGGCCTAGACCTGAGCCATGCTGCCTGCAACCGTTGCGTCGGGCCCTTGATACCGTCACATTTGCATCATGCATCTGAGGTCAATCAGCCCCGTTTTATGCACGGCGTTTGGTTGTCTACACTCAAGTCCTGGGCCGCATTATCAGATGCAGTGTTCCGACCTAATCCCATGTTAGTTTCTTGAACTTGATGTGCAAGACTTTCTGGCATATGAATTGATAGCAAAGAGACATGCACGCTGGGTCACGTTGTATCCAAAATAATGATGGATTAATATTAAGAAATGGTAAAAGGAGTGGCCCGTATCGCTTGATGCCAACTGTCTATCCCACAGAAATGTCTGCCAAAGTAAACTCCATCTATAAATCCCATTTTCATGCCAGAAAACCCATCATAAACTGGGTCGTCGTTCTTAGAAAGTGAACTTCATCAACGCCGGGTTGAGGAGGACCGGCACCGCAAAGTGACAAACAATGACGCTGCACAACGGGTAGATGGTCGCAAAGGTTCTGATCTGCCACTGCTCTGGGAAGACGAAATAACCACAAATCACAAGCGCTGTGAAGGCGAAGCACATGAAAAATGTGCCTGCAAAATTCTTGATAATCTTGGGTATCTCCTCGAGGAAGTTGCAGTTCTCCACCTCCTTGGAAGTTGCACCCCACTGGATGTTGATTTCGAAGAAATGGCAAAGGAGCGCTCTCGAGACGTGAAGAGAGATACCGCCGAGGAAGAGGGTAAAGATAGGCATCCATTTGTAGTTTTCCCATACTGAAGGTCATGTTGGCATTCGCAAGTGTAGTGGTGAGAATAGAGATAACTTACAGGCTGCGAGGAGTGATTTCTGGCCAAGGCGGTAGCGGAGGATAGCCAAGGCGAAATTGCCGACGAGGGGGAAGACGATGATGATGGAGAAATAGGTGGCGAATGAATCAAGATAGTACTTGTCCAGCTGATTCCAAAACCATCCAGTGTAGAAGTAGTTGAACAGGGTAAGAAGCCAAGATGCTCCGATGGCGTAGTAGGTACCAACATAGGCCAAGATAGTAATCTTTCTGTAGAACGCAATCTTGGAGAAGAGGAATCTCTTGAACAGGGGGGTGAAGGGCCCGCGAGTGATCCAGAAGCGGAGAGGGTGGAAGATCAACTCGTTGCTGCCGTACGCATACTTCTCCCAACGAGCCAACTCATCGTAGACCGTCAGAGAGACACCCTCCTTGAAGCCATCCCCAGTGTAGGCACCATATCTGATAGTGTATCCGGCTGTCTGAAGGCGCAGGGCCATGTCGAAATCTTCAGACACGTGGGACTCGGACCAGAACTTCTCATAGCCATCCTCTTCGTCAAAGTAAGACGCGGCATCCTGAAGAGCCGACCACCGCAAGACAGCGTTGTGACCGACAAAGGGCGAGATGTCTCCATTTGCAACAGCGAACGTGATTGCACTGTAAATCATGTGTGTGAACCAAGTGACAGCCTTCTCGAAGAAGGAGTCTGAAACGTTCATAACGCCAGACGTGTACTGGAGAATGGCGATCTCGGGAGAAGCTTCCATCTCACTGACGGCGTCGAGGAGGCAGTCGCGGGGAACACGGGTGTCAGAGTCGATGAGCAGAATGTAGTCGCCAATTCGAATGTTGCCGTCCGCCCATGTGCGACCTTCGGACTCCTCTAGGACTTGGGTGAGAGCCTGGGCATAGACTTGGTCCTCGCTCTCCGGGCCCCACTTGCTACCGCGCTGGATTTCCAGGAGCTTCTCCTCGACTTTGTTGCTAGTCATGAGGGCATAGTTCATGTTGGAGGCCTTTTTGAACCGGCCTCTGCGGATGAACGGCTCCTCCCCGGAGTTTTTGGCGTTGGGGTTATGGCCAGGACGGGCGGTCCATCCCATGTTATGCTCCTCGTAGAATTCCCTGCGGGCCTGGGCCTCATCCTCATCGATGAGCTGCATACCGTCATCATTGACCAGGATGTTTGCGGTGCCCCCCTGCATCTCATAAGTTGAGATGGCAGCCTTGAGGGAAAGCACTGTAGGCTTGATGACAGAGTTGAGGCCTTCCTTGTAGACAGGCATCTGAATCGTGACGTGAGGAAGCTCGCCTGCACTAGGGCTCAACCGACGAGGTGGTTTGCCAGAATAGTTCTTAGCGTTGGCGTTGACCCCAGATATAGGGCCGAACAACTGAAAAATGATGGTGGATATCGTTAGGAAGAAGAACAGGGAGATAAAGATCGTGGCGGGCGTGACGGCAACGAGCGCCCAACGGGTGTAGTCGCCGTCGATCGTCGATTGCAATGCGAGATTTCGGTAGCCGAGACCCAAGCAGGCAATGGACAGACCCAGAGCCAGGGCGACAATCATAGAGCTGGTCAGTCTGACTGGGCGGACCTCAGCCCTGAGTGCCTCTTCAAGAGCTGCCGGGGAAAGCTCTTCTATGTTGACGTCGATCGCCTTCTCGTTCTTTGGCTCGTCATCTTCCTCGCCATCATCGGTCTTCCAAATCATCGAAATGATCATTTGCTCAATACTCTCCGGCCTAGCAAAAATTTTGTTCGGATCGTCATCCCATACCACCAGAAGAGGCGGATCCAAGACGAAAGCCGCATACTGATGCTTCTGACATCTAGGCAAGTCGGTCATCCTTGGAAGGACCTGCAGTTGCAACCCTCCTTCCAGAGCAACGGAGTCCTTGGGCTCCCTGCTGTTCAGAAGACCTTGTATGATGGACTGGATGACAGGAGTGTTCACTGTCATGGCACACTAGTCTATGTCAGTTCTAACATTATGTGACTGGGTGTCATTTTCCGACTTACGCTGACGTTGAGCTGGCCAACCATGTCAAAAAATCCATAGGGGACAGTCTGCATCTGAGGAGGGGCGCAGACGAAGTCATTGCGGCCCTTCTTGAGGACGATACCCTCGCCCAGGTTCCATGCCGATGCGTAACCCTTTCTCAGCTGTTCCTGGTACATGCCGTGGACCGTTACATCAGCTCTGAGATCGATAATGCTGCTCGCATGCTTGTCTCTCATGCCAGCAGTGAGAGCCAAGCTCACGGTGGACTGCCTGGCGGATGTCCTGGTGCTCTGGCTCCGATACGGCCCCGGCTTCTCGGATGACTGCGTCGCATTCGACGGCATAGGCAGGGTGTTACCCGAAGACTGTTGTCGGTGCTGTGGTGTCGACGGAGTCGGCTTCGATTGCCTTGTGGATTTGTTGGACTCGGAGCCTGCCGCCCGGGCAGGCGTGAGGTACGACTTGAAAGCATGCATCTCGTGATAATCTCTGAAACGAACGAACCAAAGCTGGTCAAACCACTTCCAGCGTCTGGATAAAGAAAGAGTGACGCATACACCGTAAGTGAGTGGATGGTGGTGAGGAAGGCTCAGTCGTCCAGGGGATGGGAAGGAGGAGAGAGATATTTGAGAAGGCCTCAATGCAAAGTCCTCTCAAGTGGGCAAGGTCAGCAAGTAAGTCCAGGACAAAGGTTAGCTAGCCTAAGCCGCATGCACGGGGGCACCGGTAGCTGAGCAATATTGCATGGCCTGGCCGGCACCGCCATCACGACAACCACAGCAACTATGGGGCGGCGGCAACGAGAGGCCATGCTCGAGTTGGGTCTGGAGGGGAACAAACAACGGCTGGACTCAAAAGCCACGGTGTGAAGGTGGGTTCCACCGGTCTAAGTCACCCGCGCGAGACGGACTATCAGGTTAGCTGAGAATTGATGACAAGCGGCATCGAATGGCTTCGTCTATGAGAAGCTGGCGCCACCCGTGCGCTGCATGGAAGACGGGTAAGCAAGCACAAAGACGGTAGGGACATCCGCCCATCGTGAGGTAGTAGCGTGGCTCGAGGCGACAAAGCAGGCCGAGTCCTTATCGCGTAAACGCTGCCTACCCAAGCGCCGCCGAGCCAAGCCGTTAGACTGAGAAGAGACATTGCACCCCTGTGAAGCCAAACACGCTCTAGTCTATCGGCATCCCCTGCCCAGGCTCAGCACAGCATGCAGCCGTCATGAAATGGCCAAGGCGGGATGGCCAACGATATCCACCGGGATGGCGGGAGGACGTAGGATGCAGATAGATAGCCCAATTTCTGCCAGTACGCGATATCGGGAAAGAAGCAGACCGACCGTCTTGGTGGTAATGCCCGATTGCCTCGCCGAGATCTCCCCGGAAGGAACCATCTCTCCTCCGAGGGTCCGTTTCGTTGATCAATGCTGCTCAGAAGGGGGAATAGAGTAATCAGGAACAGGATCGTGGTTCCCGGTGCATCTAGCTCAGGAACGTCGAAGGCCGCCTTGACTTGGCGCCCTCCTAGTTGACGACGAAGCTGCGAAGGCTTCAGGAAGTGCTTTGAAGCTGGGACGAGAAAACAAAGCCAGAGACCACCATCAACTGTCTGTAGCCTAGAGAGGAAAGGTGCTTTTTGCCTCCTTTCTGCTTCGAGAAAAGGCTTGCCGCGAGTTCAGCCTCCAAGAGGTCTTGGACCACTGAGACACCACGCTTGTTTATGTGGCTTGCGCCGGTCGGCTTAGATGCCAGCGCTAAAGTAGCGCCGTCCCTGAGTGCAAGGCAGTTGTTTTTAGACGACAAGTCCAACTCAACCCAGACCCCTGAGGGAACAAACAAGACATGCCAGGCCATTCCGAGGTCTCGGTAACCTTATCTAGTACACTTGTACGAAGAATAGAACCAACAAGGGAGTCTCACACCCGCCTGAGTCGAAGAGTCTCTGACCTGGGCTTCGGTCGCCACGTTTAGTGGGATGTCCTCGATGCCTCGTACGCGTAACAAAGATGCTGAGCCTGGCGTCATGTTTCCATTCTCATAAAGAAACTGAGTTTGAATCGTTCTCAACGGTGGGTTCTGAATCGGAGGTCGTCGAGAGTTCTGATCTCGCGAGTTGTGAGTTGGCACTCGCCACTATAACTAAACAAAAGGAAAACTCTAGGCGCTCGCTTGCCGCGAGAAATCGGTACTTTGACAGTTCCAAGTAATTCGGTCATGGCGGCCTCAGAGATATTCAAGGACGAGGATTTGTTAGTGAACGAGAAGGACTGGGGTGTATGCCTCCAAATGCTTACTTTTGGAAGCGAAGGTATTGTTCAGATAGGAGGGAGAGATAATGAGACGGGTCAGAAGAGTAGTGTGGAAAGTCGGTGGGTGTGCTGTGGCTTGCTGAAGCTGCGACGTCTAGCTTAGCTCACCGCGTGTCAGGAGATTGTGCGTGTCCTTGCCGGCATAACAAACAACATTAGGAAGCCGTATTGATGCAAGCCTGCGAAGGTGGTCTCGTATGTATTCATGCGGGAGACGTGGGGGAGACGGCAGGACGGCAAGAGCTGGCAGGCAAAGACGGCAAACTAGATTGGAAACTGCATGAAAAGGACGATAGGAACAAAAGAAGAAAAAGGCAGTGACGGAGGACGGTCGTGTAGATCCCAAGCCAGCCGGTGATCCCGCATCCGGCGAAGTCCCTTTTGCTGGGTGTCTTCCAGGGGTAGTTCCTGCTTTATGCAATAGCACCAGATGGCTTATTACCTATCGTGGCCATGGAATGATGCCCATTGGCCGGGGACGAGAGAGGTGCAGGTACCCGCTCCATATATGCATCTATGCCGTCTTCAGCTCGCCGGCACTACGCCAGCCTACAATTCCCTCTTTGGCCGCGACAAATTTCCTCGCTCAAATCTTCCGCTGCCCCCTGGTCTATGCATGCACCCATCTTTGCTGCCCAGCCGTCGTCCACGAATCCGATGCCCTGTCGTCCCGTTTATATCAACTGGTGTGCTGCACGACCAGGAATATTGGACGAAGTTCCGGCCGCATCACCATTCTAGCCCGATGGTGGCGCCTTTTCGGCCATTTGATTGCCTCTGCCGCGTCGCATCCCGCCGACGTATCATTGTCGCCTTTTTTGACCAGGCACCCAGGCTCGCTGCAGTTTCTGCTAGCTGAATGATGGAAGTGGAAACACTCGACTCCCAACAAAGAATGGTCCTGATGAGGTGGCTCGTCCGCCGATCAAAGAACCAACAGTTGTCGGCTCTGCCACCAGAAAAAGTCAAACACTTCGTTCCTGCTTCGACCAGCCCCAGTGCGGAGGCCTTGTTGCCGTCCGTCGGCCCGCCTATCGCCCAAGGCCATCCAGTCACCCTCTCGTCTTTTACGAGCTTTATCTTCGACCGTGAGGCCGAGCGCCGAGAGAATCTGCGTTTCTTGGACGTGGCATTTCGTCAACAGAACGGCCCGTTCATCCTGCATCTGTGAGATGCATCGAGACGCATGAGATTTGTGTTGCCGCATGTTGTCATCGAAGAGGTGGCAAGTCGCCAAAATGTCATGGGGTACCCGTTAATTTGAGCTATCAAAGAAGCGACAGACGGTTTGTGCAGATCCCGTGCTACGCTATTGCCATCACGCATTTACACCTCCCGGTTTGCCATGTTGAACTAACCGATTCTGACTCTTGCCCAGCTTTGCTAGGTCGATGAGCAGAGTCTTCGACAGTGGACACACACCACGCCGACGATGACCCAGAGCAAATGTTCAAGGGTGGAAGCCCCGAATGGCCCATTGCCGACCCCCACTTGGAACTCTCAGCTGAATCCATAGTTGCATTGTAGAGAATGTGGTCCTCTTTTGGTTTCAAACACCTTTGAGCACCTAATCGCGCCACGAACGATTCAACGGCACCAATATCTACCCCAACGCAGAAATTGGGCTATCAGCTTGACTTCGGACCCGATTGACGACACACGCCGCGGGTGCATATTCGTGCCATTTAATCTCCCCAAGTCGGAAAACTTGCCGCAACAAGCCACAGATCGATATTGTGGACGGCTTCGATCCAACTTTGCTATCGACTTGTGCAACCAAATACGAGTTCTGCTGTACTTCCGGCCCTCTTCGTCAGCCCCGTCAAGCTGCAGGCTGCAGTCAAGCGTCTCCTCCCGCCGCCGGTAGGTCTGGACCGACACCATCACACCGCTAGGCAACGAACCACGACTAGCTCTTATCATGTTGCTTTCCGCGTGGCCTCGATCCTGGCTATTTCAGGAAACCTCGTGCCTCGAAGCAGACATCATCGCGAAGTAGACACGTCAGAAGGCCCTCTCTTTCTGTCAGTTCTCGTCGTTGTCAACTGGGGCGGCTTGTTATCCCATCGCTCAATACTACTCAAAGATATCTTGCGTTTTGCACCCGCGAGGCAGGATTTACGTCGGCCAAAAGCCAACATATGGATTGATGGTGCGCTCCAGGGGCATGGAGGCCCAATCTGCCCCTGAACAGTCTCTTTTTGATGCTAAGGGTTCAGCTGTCACCTCCATTGCGAAGTTCGTGCCTGGGCTCGGACCCTGCCGCGAGCCACGAACACGCTACCCTGACTCTCCAACTCAGCCCTCATTTAACCTCCAAGATGGAATCTGACAGGCTGAGCGCCCGGCGAGAAAAAGAATTAGCATTCCAACTTCGCAAGCAAGGAGCTGGTCCCAGGGCCATGGGACTTATCGCGCGCGGAGCTGGTCCACACTCCCGGAAAATTCTACCCTAGCCATGTCAGGCTATCCTCACATTTGAATGGCTAGTGCCGGTCTGATAGAAGGCCTAGTATATGCCAGGGTCCAATATCAAAGTCTGCTGTCACTGGGATGGCAGCGTAATGCTTCCAAGGAAAGCTGCAGTTCTCGTCATCGTCACATTTCACTCTGTCGTCCCCAAACAAATGGGTGGGGGGGCTGCACCCAGTCGTGCTCAGCCAACCACCGCAGTTTCGTGGTGCTGTCGATGGATCCAAAGGCAGGATAAAGCAAGATAACTACACTTTGGACCCGTGGTTCTCATCTAGGACATTTACCAAAGGTTGGCAGGCGCTTTAGCTAAACAGTCTTAGCCGGTACGCCGATTCATCACGCAAGATAACGCAGATGATTTCCCAGCCCTACCACGCCGATAGTTTGGATCTTCTTTACCCACGTTGCCTTCGGTCAATCTGCGTTCCCTAGCATGGAGCACTACCTGGGGGCACCATTGAGGTCGCTCTTTGTTGGCGCCAGTTCAAGATTCTTGGCTCCTTCAAAGCCATTGTCCTTTCACCACAGGTTCGCTGTCAGGGCTTCAGGTCTTTCCTTCGTCATGCATTGTCAAGTAGACACTCTTTACGGAAAAGAAACCCATTTGAGGGGGTACACCCTTGGGCGGCCTGCACAGTTGGCAAGACGGTATCCCGTTGACAGCTTCAGCAGTGGCTGGAGGGCATTGCGCATCATATCACACCGATGACCAGTCACGGGGCGCTTATAGCATTGTCATATTGTCATATCACGGTGCCTAAGCCAATCCTGGTTTGAACGTGTTTATGAAAGAACATCAGCCTCTGACATGAATCCCTAAGTACACAGCATCGAAAGCGAACCGATGGCTGGTCTATAGGAGTACCCGCTCACTTCATCAGAGCAATCGTCTTCATCATCTCGAAATTAGGGAGACCCAGTCCCGTCACAGGATCCCAGCCCTGAGTTCCGTTCCATGTTGCAAAGGGAATGACGCCGGCGCCCTGCAACGGCTTTCCAGACTGCAAGTCCACACCGCCGCAGCCCTGCGCGACACCCGTGTTCACGTCCGTCAGGCCCCGGAATCCTCGCTTGTACAACCAGGGGTTCATGAAGCCCATCGTCGGCTGGCCGACACGGATCCTAGCATCGTTGAGAAGGCCAACCAGACCGGCAACCAGCGGGGCAGAGGCGGACGTTCCTCCCGTGCCGACGAGCCGGTTCGCGTTGACAATCGGAAACGGCGGGCTGGCGGAGTGAGCTGAGATGTCGGGAAACCCACGGCCGGTGAAGTTGGCGAACGGCTCGTAGTAATTCTTGGTCTCGGGAGAGATGCCCGTCGCCAGGTACGAGGTCACCGCGGCCTCCTGGTACCACGCCTGCTTGAAGTAGTTGCTGAAGCCACTGCCGGAGGCGACCCACGTGATCTCGGGGCCGAACGCCTGCGTGCCTCCCACGGCGGTGATGTACGGGCAGGTGGCGGGGAAGGTCGGCGTGAACTGGGGAGCGTTGCTGCCGTCGTTGGCGCGGCAGGGGGCGCCGACGCCAGTGTCACCGCTAGACTCGAGAACAGTCACACCGCGGAGGCCCATCATGCCGATGAGGTTGCACACGCGCGTGGCGTACTCGATGGGCACCGTCTGCTCGTCGTCGCCGTACGAAACAGAGAGCACCTGCGGGATGGCAGCATTCTCCTGCGTCATCATGAACTGGTAAAAGTCCAAGAACGGCTCGTTCTGGTTGTCGGCCTGCGTCGGCGTGCGGAGGTTGGGGACCAAAGGCGGCTTGCCTCCGGTGATGAACTGGGTGATGGGGAGGTTCTTGACCGCAGCGGCCATCACCTGCGCGTCCAGGTTCGCCTCGCCGATCTGACCCTTGGGGTCCTGGTGGTCCTGGCCTCCGTTGACGAGCACGCTCTTGAAGCTCTGCGGCGGCAGCTGGAAGCGTGTCAGGAACGCCGTGAGGTCGTCCTGGCGCGCAGACTGGTTCAGGAAACTCGCAAAGCCGACGCGGCTGCCGGCGGCGGGGTCAGCTTGGTAGGCGCCATAGTTGTACGCCAGCTCGAAGCAGGCCGGGGTGAAGGCCTTGGAGCAGTTCGCGGTGGCGCCGGGGGGGTTCTGTCCCTGTCTGCGAGCCAGCGGGGGAGGCATTGGCGGCATGGCACCGGCCGGCATCGGGGCCGCGAACGCGGGGTCCGATTTCATCTTTCCAAAGTACGTCGTGGGTGTCACGAGCTCAATGTGCTCCGCCATGGTGTCGGGGAGAGAGTACTGCTGCGTGCGCAGCTTCATCGTGCCCTGAACGTCGTAGTAGGCAAAGTTGGCTCCGAGGATTCTGTTCGCAGTCCCCACGTCCGTCGCGAAGTTGACGAAGCGGCCCCCGTCGGTATACGAGACGTCCTTGACGTTCTCCTTAGCGAGCCACGCCTGCACCGCGGCGACGGACTGCTCTGCCGGCTTGAACATGTCGTTGACCTGCGCCGCCGAGAGGTACTTGCCGTAGTTGGGGCTGTCGGGGTCGGAGACGTCCTTGAGCATGGGCTCGAGCTTGTCAATGTTTTGCAGCTTCAGGCCGATCTGGAGGTTGATCTGCTCGCCTTCGGCAGCCATATTGACCATCGAGACGCCCGAGACGAAGTTGGCTGCTCGAGACATGAGGCGGGCTTCGACTGCGACGGCGGCGGCCGCCAGGGCCAGGAGGGCCTTGAGAGGAGCCATTCCGGCTGGCCTTTTCGTTGGATGGACTCGGGTAGGGGATGAGAATTATCGAGTCGTCGTTCGCGTCTCTCAGAGGGCCGAATTGGAAGATTATTCACAACTAGGGACAATGGCCAACTACGACGAGGCACATGAAAGAGGCACGAAAACCAAAAGCAAGTCGACAAGAAGACGAGACGATTAGAAGTACGGATCACGAGTCGGAAGACAGTCGGCTCTACGGTTGTATCCGAACTACCAACCAAGTACTGCAACTGCTGTTTGCCTTCGATCCAAAGGCCCTACCGGGGCCAGGTGTAATGGTTCAGACAGTACATGTCGTAGAATCACGCTGCGCAGTAGGGCAGGTACAGCCCTTCTCGCGCAGGTTTTCGTCTGAAGGCAACCAACCGGCGGGATCAGACTTTAAGGTTACAAGATCCCAAACGTGCAAGCTGCACGTTTCGAAACCTGGACCTTGCCCTCACGCAAATACAAATCTGGCCGCGGGATAGCCGACAGAGGAGAGAGGTATTTTCTGAGGGAGCGCAATGCAGGAACGCCAAACCTTATTTCCTTTTCGCGGAGTGCAGGAGCAGAGGAGATCGATCCCGCGCGTCCCACGGTTTGGTACGGCCACTTATTTGCCATCCATCGCATTCCACAACCCACATTCCCAGGAAACTCAACGCTTGCCTTGGCTGAAGATGGTCATATACTCGCTGGAAATTTAAGGTGTGAATCATGTCAGTCTAAAAGTCTTTCGATAACCTGACTTGTCAATTACATCCGTGTCCACGACCACTCGATTACGTCTCCTCTGCAGGTTGACGCGGTTAATCTTTCGCCATGCCTTAGGTTTCCTTCCTGTCGTTCGTTCGTGTCCTTGGCACCGGTGGCTTGGTGTTCTCTGGTTCGACAGGGGGGAAAGCGAAATACCGGACGCCGGATTTGAATGCCTAAGATGCCCGGAATAGCCTCCGTCGCCCGCATTGTGGAGAAACAAGACATGAAGCCGCATCGCTTGGCAAATCCTGCTGCGAAAGCTTGATCGTCGCAGTGGGAGAAACACTCCGCCAATCTGCGCCGGGCGATCCTCCCCTGGAAGAAAAAGCCAAGAGAACATGCAAACAAGCAATTGAGCCGCGCTACTAGCGCCGTAGATCCAATCAACAACCACTGCCGGCCGAGTGCTCTTTTCTCTCTTCACAGGAGATGACCGCTCGACGGCCCCTTCGCCTTCCGAGAAATCATTTGGATTTGATGGCCCCGGCGGGCGAGGGTCCCGGGGGGGGGGAAGCCACCAGGTGCCCGTGAACGGATGGTGCCTGGGAGTTTCCGACCACTGGCGGCCTTCCTCGCCTCCCCCCTTATTTTCTTGGCAAGATGTGTAGAGTTGTTTCTGTGCCGGGCGGGCCTTTTGGGCAGAGCAAACGGGATGGCATGGTCACAGCGGCCTCTGCATTCTTTAGGTTCCGAATCCGAGCCGCACTCCGGTCTGGCGCCAGACCCCTTTCGGTGCTGGAGAGACCAAGTGGCTGACCACTACGGAGACGGGACGGCCCAGGAGCTTCTCCCGTTGGATCGTTGGTCTGGATCATTCTTCAACAACGTGATGGGGCGTAATGGGCCGGAATCGCATCCCAGAGAGACACATCACCATTGCTAGTGGTTTTTTTCGTTTCCGTGCAGAGTTTATCTGATCATTTCCTACATAATACCTAGTCATACAAAAGAGCACGAAACGCCTGACTTGAGCACGGGGAGGGAAACTCCGTCCCATCTTGGGCAACATGAGGCGGTGGTAAAACACGAAGCAAAGTTGTTCCGACCGGCGCGCACCACAACTCTGATGAACACCCACCCACAACCGACGGGAGGAAAACGTGACTTTCGTTGAACACATGAGACTGAGAGAGACCAAGGCGGGTCGTTTCTACGATAAACCGTCTGTGCGCTTCGATATTGTTGCTGTGGCGATGAATTCGAACTGGTTGACAGGAGGGACGAATGGAGCCAATGGAGGTACCGGATGGTTGTTTGGAATTTTGACCTCGACCATGGCTTTGCGACCGTCGTATGGAAATTGAAAGAATCTGGTTGGTCTATTGTTAGCACCATATTCATCCAAGTGAGTTGCGCAGAGAGTTTGCCGCCCGGCCCCTTACCTGGAGTCTTTGTACAAGTGGCTCACAGATATCATGAAGTTTGAGGCTGAACGGAACTCGACGACCTTGAACGAGAAGAGGTTCGTTGGTGACGTCCAGCAGAATGCTCCATTGATGGGGAAATCGTTGTTCGGGCCGTTGTCAGGGGTTATCCCGTCCCACGGCCAAGTTGCATTACAGTGAGCGCCGTTGACATCGACGACGCCTTCTGTGTTGTAATCGTAAAAGTCGACTGGCATTGCCATGTTAGCGAGGCGCAACTATGATGTTGAATTGAGACTTACAATCTAGTGTACAGTTATACATATCTGAGGTCTCTGTCTTTTGGCAGACGGTGGCCAGGTTGCTCAGTGTCATGTTCAACCACGGATATCTGAACCGGCTGGCCTCTTGGTGGATCTTCTCGTCGTCTTCCAACGCCGTCGGCAGGGAGGCTACGAGAGGTATAACAGACAGCATGGATATGAAGAAGAGAGACTTCATCGTGATTAGCGTTGTGATGGCTGAGACAGTGTTGATGTTGTAAACAGAGACTAAACCTCTCAATGTGTATGGTGAGGATCTCGGCTTTACTCGTTAAATTTGACTCAAATACCGTCAAGTTATGGCCTTCAAGATTGAGCTTAGGCCATTATTTATAGTTATAGATTCGATGACAGCGCATTCTATGCAGTCTTCCCCGTCGCCGCAACCGAATGTCGTCGTAGACCGCCTCGGACTGCAAAGCCATTGGAGCAACGGCGTCATGTACCCGGCCGACGATATGCCCAACGCGGGCCGGTGCGAGAAGCCGTCGTTGTGCGCGGCTACAAGCAAACCCCGTTCGTCACAAATACGATATTCAACCGCCTTTCGAGGGAAGGCTGGATGTAGTGCCAGCCAGTCACCGGAACGGAAGAGCCGAAATCAGGACGAGGGTACCTGCCGAGAGGTTGCCCGTGTTTCCCGGAGATTGTTGTCACACCGAGGATCATGACCTTCAGGTTACCAAGAAGATGGAGAGAGGGCCCGGCGACTGTGGCGCAGATTGACAAGATGCTCAGTCTTGACCACTGGTGATGTGCCCGATCACGGTCTAGAGTCCCTTCGCCCAGATCATTCGCTGAAGGTGTCGAAACGAGGCGAGGTTGCTTGGCGGACAACAGGTCAGGCAACTGGAACAAAGTGAAACTCGTGATCAAGATTAACGTGCGGGTTGCAGCAAGAGCTTGTCGTTGAACTTGCTATTAGTGACTCGCAGTGAACGGTCGTGTAAGTCGGCCCGCGGGCGACCAGAATACCGATCCTGAAAGAGCCAAGTATGTCTGCACAAGTCATACCCATGCGGATGGCCAATCTCCTGCACATAGTAGGAGAACATGGCCCAATCAGGGTGGCGTGTGAGTTACTGCAGATAGGGCGGCTAGGCACAGATGATTCGTTTTCCCGTGCAACCAGCCCGGAAAGTTGCTTTCAGACGCTGCCTGTGGCACCATTTCGGTGGCGGAATGGTTGCCGGACGAGCTTTGTTTGCTTGAGCAGGTTGTTTCTCGGTCTTCTTCGAACCAGAATGCATGGAACATCGGCTCCCAGCAAGAAGCATACCCAGCCCCCTGGAATGCTTCGCGTAGCATTATCAATGCAGCCATCCAGGCCGCGATGCTGCGCATTGAGTCCAAAAGGGCTCTCGGTTTGTCCAGAAATGGTCATGTGTGTCAGAAAGTGGTATTCTCGCAGAGCCTCGACACGTTGTTGTCCAAAGGATTACTGAGGGGCTTCTTTGCGACTACATACAAGCGATATCTCAGCCTGTTTCCTAAGATCGCTTGAATGTTCCGTTTCAGGCAGCATAGACTATATGCCGGCGGTGAAGAATTCTCGCAGCGAGCCAATCAGTCGAGCCGGCCTCGCGATGATGTGCGTGTCGTCGATCTCCGAGGTGAAGCCGTCGTACTGCTCGAGGAGTCACAGCTTCATTGACCGACTGAACGCCAAACACTGCCTTGTCAACGTGATGTCAACTTTGAGGATGAAGATATTTGTGAAAGCGGCAAACACGCACACCGCTTCTTGGCTGCGAGTCATCAAGACCGAGCCTGAGTCCCTCATCAAAGCATCGACGAGCTCCTTCCATGCGCTGACCGGCTTCGTGTGACATGCAGTTGCTCAGAGCCGAGAGTAAAGGGGTCAGGCAGTGTCGCCAAACACGGCGTGCTAGCATGAGTTTTGAGTCCAGTGTCGTCGCCACGAGGTCTCGTCGTGTCGGACGGCAGCATTTGGCTCAGCGGACCATCTTCATCGGGAAGGGCCGTGGCAGGCAAACAAGTAACTCCTGTAACGGATAGAACAGTATGCTGAGGGCATAACGTTAATCGAACGACGGGCTCTCGCCTTGAAAAAGAGCCCCAGGGGTCAGCCGCCGCAATCCTCGGCAAGACTGGACAACACAAAGGGGCTGGATGGGCATGAAAGTAGTAGACTTGCGAGGGTGATTGCATGGTTATACCAGGCCAGCCAAGACTAGTTGGTAGTGATCGATGATGTCGTACGCAGATATCTCTGCAATTTTTGTCGATTGTTAGCGGTTCGAGGATGGTCAAGATATGACTGACTGAGTGTCGTTGAGGTTGATGCCATGGTGCGAAAGCACCAGGGAACAGGAGAGCGGAAAGATGTATCCTTGGCTCGTACGCCGGAATTGCAGAAGTCAAGTTCACGGAAGGAACTGAGATGGGCATTTGGGAAGGTATGTCTCTTGCCGTTGCTGCTGCCACTCCTATCCCGCCATCGTCTCGAGTCTGGATTTCCAAGTCGCTACTCCATCCGTCGTTCAGTAATGAATTCCTACTAAATACATTGCCTCTACTACCATCATCTTCACACGTCAGTCTCCATCTTAACTTCGGTGAAACTATCAAACTCTGTACTGAAATGTTGGTGAATCTGATTGCAGCGCAGACGCAAACACTCTCTGGGAAATCCCAAATCAGCGCTGTTTTCGGTGGCACCACGGCTCATAGGAAGAAGAAGACGTTCTCTTTCTCGAGCTCTACGTCTCTTTCTCGAGCTCTACGTTGACCAATCCATGGGTCCTCTACAAGAATTTCCTGTTTTTCCCGTGCTAGAGCGGCTCCTTTTCCTGTGATATCGTACTCTACTTTATCATGGTCGTCGCTACCATTATCGTTATCGCTACTCCATCGTCCCTATTATCTTCGTTATCGTCGTCGTTACTACTACTATTATAACTTCTACTTCTATACTTAATAGGAGTGATTGACTACACAGAAAATATAGCCGTACACACGCAGGAAATTTGGGCGGTATCCGCTACAATCGCATCACCGGACTATAATGGCAACGCCGGACACTAGACATAACGCCCTACAGGCTAAAGCCCGACAAACATCTACGTCGGCAGTCCCAACCCATTTGTCGGGGGTACACCGACATGGTGGGCAGACAAAAGGTCCCAGGGCGGAAATGCCGTCGTTTGCCGGAGCTGGAAGTCGCGGGTCACGGACGGGACGGGACGGCAAGGCAAAAACGGAGCAAGAAGTTCAAAGGAACATGGCCGGCATCTCCGAACGCTCGGGCTCCGTCCCGTTCAGATACGACGCGCCGGTGGCGGTGCCGCCCTGCAGGTGGATCGCGAAGGGGAATCTGCTTCGTTCGATTCAGCCTTAATGCCAGCGTCTCTTTTTTCTTGCACGTGTACAATCTTGGGGGCTTCTATTTCCGCTCCGGGCCGGGTCATTTTAGGCTTTAGCACAGCGTTTTAAGGGCAGTCGATGTGCGTAAAGTAAGGTAGGTAATATCAACATTCGGACTGTGTTCCGCGTCTAGTGATTTTTGGGGGCCGCATGAGGTGTATCGGACCCGTTGACCGCGGATTCGATGTCCGACCAAGTCGCGCTATGCACGGGCGAGATCTCGTGTTTTTGGAAGGTGTGTGTGTGTAAGTGTTCTAGAACAGGTCTCGTCTGCATGTCAAGTTCCAATATATTGACGCAGAAGAAGTCTGGAACCGCGAGCTCAGCCATGACAGCGAGTGTTGGATTCGGCCCAATGCCAGGTCTGGCGTGGGATGATGCATCGGCATTCAGATTTGCCCGTCGAAACAAGATGACCTTGACGCAGGACGTCGATCATGTCGCTCGTCAGGTGAGGCACCAAGCCTGCGTATCTCTGCCAGATTGGCAGCAGGTCTTGACTCGACGTCATTCAAAGGGTCGGGCTCAAGAGATGTCCAACTCGCGCGTCTGTTCCAAGAACTCCTGCCAGGATTTCGCTTTGCATGGCAAGAGGTTGGACGGCGGGCATGGTTCTCTCTGCCACTCTGGTGGTGTGCAGTGCAGGTGAGATCTGCGGCAGGCAGTTAGACGGGATCCCTGAGTTCTTAGGTGAGCTGAGTCCGAGCTAACGCCGGATTGGGATTAGTGGTCTTGTGGAGAGATCCCGACATCCCACTGGGAAAGAAAGAAATGGGAATTTGGGAAAGCCCCTTTTTTCTTGCGCTATTAATAGACATTCGCCTGAAAACTAAGTTTTCTGGACGGAGCACGAACGAAGAAAAGGGTCCTCTGCTTCTGGTTTGGATGATAGATCCCTGTCGATACCACAGCCTTACTCGGAACGCCGCCTGTCTGCCGGCCTCAATGAGCTCGAGCGCTCCTCTGGTGAGGACGGGAGTTGCAGTTTGGATCGGGGACGAATGTTGACAGCAGAGTATACTCCGTACATGCCACTGCAATCAAGTCCTAACGAACAACGTTGTATTCTACCCGCAGACATGGAGCGCCAACCACCTGGAACTCGGTTAGAAAGTTTCGCGAAGTTCCAAGAGGTCCTAGAGCAACATGTAAAGAGGGCGGTGAGCTTGTTGCTAAAGACGGGTTCCAACTTCACACACAGTCATGACCCAACTGGCTGGGAAGGGATCATGACTCATTTCAAATGACCACGAAGCTCGTAGTTTTATTATCGTAGCTCGTCAACTCGAATAATCAATTTGATGAGCTTACTGGTGGCCCGAAGTCTTGGTATTCTCCTTCAGGGAAGTGGGTTATTAGTAGCTCTTTTCCCTCAAAAGAGAGTGACTCCACTTGAGCTCTCGGCCGAGGTTTGTGATTGCAAAGTCGACAGCTGTCCGACGGGGTTGAACGTATGAAAATTGGCCTTTATATTGCAGTGAAATGGGGTGCGGATCGGAGGTTCAAACGATTCATGATACACCCTGGATTACACCCTGGGCAGCTCAGAGAAACGGCGCACCAACGTATTCGTAGCCGCATGAACAGAGTTGCGACGAGAATCTGTGATTAAGCATCTTGAGACGATAAGAGTTGTCAAGTATGGGCTGCAAGGAGACACATCATGCCAACTCATGCACACCAGATACGACGTGTGGTGTTGCTGTGGGATTTCGCGTCGTTGAGGCCGCGAGCTGTGCTGTGCGAGGCATCACCGAGAATGGCACAGCGACGGGGCACACCGTAAGGTGGGAGATGATTGGACGGGTTCAGTCCATGTAAAGTTGAGCTCCCCACAGCACACATTGTAAAGTTTCCGAGTTAAAGAGATGAAAGGGGCCAAAATACACCTTGGCATCTTGAAGCTCCTGGAAGCAAGGTTATTTTAGGGCTGAGCTGTCCGAGAGCTGCTGCGCCCTTTGGGCGGGGGAGGTGAGGGGTGCTGGGACTCTAGGAGCAGCAGCAAGATTGTTGGCCTGGGACATCAAGCAGCTTCGGCGCTCGCCTTGGTTGCTAAGAAGAGTATTCAAGGCGATTCTGCAATGCGGCTTCTTGACATGTCGTCATTGTCCCTTTTTTTGAGACTGCCGAAAAGTTGGTGCATATGGCCGAGCAGGATATGGACGTGGGGTTGCATTATGTCGTTGCTTGCTCGGAGACAAGAGGCTGTGGCGCCGCGGCCGCAAGAGCGAAGGAAATGTGCGCGCATGCACGGATTGCGACGTAGTTGCATGCGATGCCAGGGTCCAGGTCGCCATGAGTGAGAGCCCAAAACTCTGTTCGGACCTGAATCCAGTCCGCAACCAGCCTGCTGGCACAACCCCTCGTCTCTCTCCGTTCAGTCTGTTGTCTCTCCCTCAGCCTCAGGCCGGGCAACGCACAAAGCGGTGCAAGCGGTGCAAGCGGTGCATGCTTTCTGTCGGTGTCACGCTGGACAGGCTTTTCGAGCTCTCTCTTGGGCTGGGCATCTGTCAGCCGCAGTCGTGGTGTCGGTGATTTTTTGACAACAGGGGCGCAGGGCCAAGGAGCCAGGTTACGGCCTGCGGTGTGGGCAGGGTGGCATCAGCAGCGAGACAGCCCACCGGTAGCTTGCCGAAGGACCGAGAGGACGGCAACGGCCAGCGGAGGCCGATGGCACTAGTGTGTTGTAGAAGACTGGGGTGGTGTTTCTGTGAGTGGCGAGTGACTGCTGAAGGATGTGCGCCCGTTTCGTTGTTGATGTTGGTAAAGTAATGGTGGTTGTGGTGGTGAGAACTGGAATTTTGGACAAAGCTTGTGTTTAATTAAATTGCTGGCGACCCTTCTCTGCTAAGGTAGGCAGGTCCAGCTCGCAGTCATCTCAAGTTGGGCCACCTAGACAGAGCTAGTGCCGCAATCCGATGTCGAGAATGGCCCGACCTCTGCTCGAGTTCGGACCTTCGTCTCATTTCCTGATCTTGTCATCCTCCAGCCGTCTGACTGGCGCTGGTGGGCTGTGTGTGAAGGGCACTGGCTGCACACCCTGTCGACAGAGCAAGTGGACAACAGAAACAAGACAGATATGCTGCTGCTGATGCTGCTCTCCAAGTAAGCCCGACAGGCTGTCTCTGTCTCTCTGTCGTGTTCTGAGATGGAAGCTGAGTCCGCCGTACTCCGTATGTGGTGGGGATGAGAGAAGGACCGGCCCAGGGAAAAGGCAACTGATCAGCCCTATCCTGGATCCTGGCGTGGCATCCCCAACACGACGACGCTATTCGCCTCTCCCTCACCTTCCCTCTAAGGCTCAGCTCTTTTCTGAGTCTGATTATTGTCGCATTCCCGTCTAATCCGGCCAGGTGCTGCTGCCGAATCTGCCCTTCACATCCTCTTCAGCATCGGAAGCCTCTTTCGAGCCATCTGCTGTCCATCGTAGCTCCCCGCCTTTGTCAAGCCAATCTGTCTCTATCTTGCCGTCCTCATCGGCCAACAGAAGGACACTGCCATTCCGTCCCGATAGTCAACCCCCCCCTGACGACGCTGATCGAAACCCGTCTGTGTTTCACCAAACGACCCCAGATCCCTCCCCCGCAGCACGCAGCACTCGCATCAGCAGCGCGTCGCTCATCCCCCTCGTCGGGTCACAGCGAGTATCCGTACTGCACTGCACTGCACTGCACTGCACCTCTGCAGGACTCAGTTAACCGCCGTTCGTCTGAACAGAGCCAGAGCCACAGAGGAGAGGTAGGCATCCCAGAAACGAAAGGCCATAGAGCCAGCCAGGCGTCGACCTCACGGAGTGACGAAGACGACAGACGCCCCCTTTTTGAACCCCTCGGGCCACTCGCTACCTTTGCTTTTCGACCTGCCATTGTCCGTCGAGAATGGCATAGCGCTGCATGCCGGGAAACAGAGACAGCTTCCATCAAATCACCTCTTCGTACCTCCCTCAGCCATCGGCACCACCCTAGCAAGCATTCGAGCAAGCCTCGCCCACCAGCGAATCCAACAGACGCAGACGCAGGCGCGGACGCGAACGCGGACCTCGACAGACAGACGCCCAACCAGACAGAGCACCCTCCATCTCCATCCCCATCCCGTCGCATCCTAGACAGCTGACAGACGAGCTGCCGCTGGGATTGACTTGTGTGCACAGCCCCAAGGAAGCCCCTCCACGCTCCCCCTCCCCTCCAAGGGCCCCAGGGAACCCAGCACGGCATCCGCTTCTGCAGCCGGCGTAGCCAATCCAGTCGGAGCCGTCTGGTTCTGCCTGCTGCTCTCGCCGCTGGCGGGCTGGGACTATCTTCCTTTTGGCGGGCACAGGACAACACCACGTATCCAATCCGTACGGACGTTTGATTGAAGTGAGTGAGAAGTGGACAGACTCGACAGGGTCGCCAGACGCAGACGCGCAGAAAATAGGAACAGGGACCAGCTGGCCGGGCTGGTCAATCTCCAATCTCTCCCCGTCCCGTCATCCATCGGCCATCCTCTTGCTTTCCCTTTCCTGCTTGCTGCCGCTCCGCCGCGCTGCTTGCCTGCTTCTGCTGCTGCCGCTCCTTTCGCTCGCCTGCCCGCCCGCTTGCTTGTCTTGTCGCTGCTTGCTTGCTTCTGTCAACTCTGGGAAACTTGGAACTGACTGACTGGCTTGGGTGACTGGTAGACAGAGGGACAGAGAGTGAGAAAAGACCCCGCGCGGAAGAAACAAGAGAAAAGAAAGCCGAAGAAGACGGAAGCCAAAGACAGTGAGAGCAGAGCTGAGCTTATCACTCACACTCGGAGCAAGAGAGTGAGAGTGAAAGAAAGCTCCATTCATTCCCCTCCTCCTCATCCTCCACCCCCGTCTCCCAGACCCGTCTTGTGTGTCTGTTTCTGCTGCTCATTGTCAGTCGACACACATACAGACAGACACACATACACGGGCTGTGCCGTATTGCCTGCCCTGCGTGGTTTTTTTTTAATATTATTATCATTACTTTGTTTACTTGCCGGCGGCTTGCTGCTTGACGGGGACTGACAGACTGCGACTGGACTTGCGACTGACACAGCCAGCGTCTGTCCCGTCTGCATTTGCATTTGCATTTGCATTGGCACAGACGGGCCAGGGTAATCTTACCAACGAAAAGGAAGAAAACCTGCCCATCCATTCGCACGTCTCTGTCTCTGTCCAGGTTACTGCGGCGGCTGCGCACGACGACATATCGCAATTATAATGCCGAGCTTCGGTCGCATTGGGAGGCACAACAACCGCTCGCAACAAGCACTTGTCGAGCCGGTTGGCGGTGCCCCTTCAGCAGGCAACTCACCTACGCCATTATCTGCTGTGCCCGCCGCGCTGTCGGGTGCTGGTGGTCAAGTTCCCCTTCCTCCTTCAGGCCACTCTCAGTCTCACCCTCAAGGCCAAGGTCACGGCCACGGTCTCTCAATCTCCCACTCGCTGGCTCCTGCGCCCGCGCCTACCTCTTCGTCGACCACCACCACCACCACCAACACCACCACTACTGGCGGCGCTAATAACCCAATTACCCCCCATTCAGCCTCGTCGACCGCCTTCAGCTCCATCGAGTCCTTTGACACCCAACACCAGCAGCAACACCAGCAGCAACAATTCCAAAATCTTCAACACCAGCAGCATCAGCAAGGGCAGCAAGGGCCTCCTCCACCGCCCCACGATTATCCTGCCTCTGCCTCGCCCGCCGCAGCTGCTGCCTCACGCAACTCCCTCCTCTTGCAGCACAACCCACTGCCGCCCGCCGATTCGCGCCAGAGGGGCCCAGGTCAGCAGCAGGAATTCGCCGACTCCGTCTCCCGCTCCCAATCCCAGCGCTATCCGCCGGCCGTAGCCCCCTACCCCAACACCCAATACGGCGCAGCCTCCAGCTCCGTCGACAACCTCAGGGCATCCCTCAACAACACCTCGACTGCAACCGCCCAATCTCAGGCAACTTCTCCTACTCCCCAGCCTGCACCCCAGCCCGAGAAGCGCTCTGCACGGAGGTTGCTCAAGAACATTCTGGGAGCGGGCCGAGATCATCACAACACCCCGCCTCCTTCCCAGCAGCCTACCCCGCCAGGCTCCTACGATAACACTGGTGGCCTCGCTCGCCGACCGTCAAAGAGAGTGAGCAATCCACCACCCGCGAGAACCGCATTATCCCAGCAGCCTTCCCAGCTGTCGCTCGATCAGCAGTCGGCAGACTGGCCGTTGCCCGCGCTAAATCAGCAACCCTCCCCGCTACAAGGCGTCGGCGAGATCGAGGACCAACACCGCTTTGCACAAGATCCTAACAGAGACCATCGTCTGCAGACCCCCGATTCCCACCGCAATTCCATTCGTTACGTTCCCAGCGATTTAGACAATACCCCTTACGAAGACCCTGCATATCTCCAGCAGCAGCAACAGCAGCTGCACGCTTTGCAAGACCAACACCAGCACGCCCAGCAGTCTGCTTACGACCCCTCCCAACACCAGTACCAGCAATACTCCCAGCAGCAGGCTGGTCAATACCAAGGCGGACCGTCTCCCATTCACACTGGCCACCTGGGTACCGGTTCTCACCAAAATCCCGAGACCGTTTCTCAGTTGTCGCATGAATCACCGGTTACTGATTCAGACGCTCGCTCGGCAAACGTCCAGTCCGCACAAACCTCCCCCGCAGTAAGATACGCCGTGCAGACCACCGACAACCCGCTGCCTCCTACACTCCCACCCGCCCAAAGCAGCTCTCAGCCTCAGCAGCAAAATATGACGCCCCCTGCTGGAGGTCCCCCTCCGCGATCCGAACGACGACCCCAAGCAGAGACGGAGAAGACGTTGCGAAGTCAGGTCGACGCACCCGGTGGGCCCCCGCCGGGCTACAGACAGAGTCAGACTATGCCTACCACTGGTGCCGCTACTGCGAACCCGGCCTTCCGTACGGGTAGCGCTCAAGAAGGCCGCCAGTTCGAGGGGTCTGGGGGAGAGCAAGGTCGCAACAGCCCTCAGCCGTCGAACCCTGACCGCGACGGCACCGATCCTGACAAGTTCAAGGAGCTACGTAAGGTAGTCGCAAGCATTGTGCTGGCATCCGCTAACAGCTATCAGTCACCAAGTACAAGAACGTTAAGCGCCTTTACTTCGATGGCAAGACACAGATCGACAACCTGAACTCCCAGATCGAGCAACTGCAGAATGCCGTTGCGAACCAGCGAATGTCACAGTCCCGCACCGCTCTCGATGATAGCGAGTACATCACCAGGTTCAACCGTCTCAACGGCGCCATCAACAACCTGTCATTCAACATTCGCAAAGATTGGCGCACAGTGCCGCAATGGCTGGACATGTACGTGAGCATCGACGCTCTGAAGACCGGGAAGCAAGAGATGACGGCGGTCGGTCGTGCTGTCATCACGAGGTGGATTGTAGAAGAGATCTTCAACAAGTGCTTCCACCCGGGTCTCAACTTCGACCTCAGCCGGCAGTTGAAGGATATTGAGCTCAATATCCGGCGGTTCTCATACACGATGAACAGCCAAGAGGAGTTCGACGCCTTGACGAATAAGGTCGTAAGCTGGCGTATGGCAACCCTGGAGGGTCTTCAGAGGGCTTTGAACTCCCCTGAGAGCGCAGACAACAGAGCAGACTTCACCCGCATGTGCACGTCAAACCTCACGGCAACGCTGTTCCAGTACATGACAGATCCGCCGCCGCCTGGTGTAGATGGCAGCGCGTCCATGATCGTGGAGTTGGCAGTAGGCATCGCCGCCAACCTGCCGCTGGAGAGCAGAGACGTGGCCATTACCTACCCGCTGCCTGGAGATCCCATCAACCCCAACATTATGGAGGTAGAGAAGGCGCCTCTTCCGCCGCTGGAGACGCAAAAAGAAGGCGAGGAGGCCGCGGATGATTCTGACAAGGATAAGAACGGCAAGGACCGGCGGGCGGACAAGACCAGAAGCGGTATGTTCACAAACATTCTCGGTGGCGGACCGCCTCGAAAGAGCAGCAACGCTTCATCGATCGTACCTTCAAGTACTGATGCAGCCCCCCCTTCAGCGCTTCCACCCAAAGACAACAACAAGGTGCGGCTCGCCGGCTTCCCCGCAGTGGAAGTCCGGGGCCGTCAAGTGTTGGTGAAGGCGCCTGTCTGGACGCTCTGAGGACGCTGGAGGTGTTGAAGAGAGAGGACCGGAAGAGACGTTCCTGGGGCTGCACGACGGCCCGCATGAAGGAGGAAAACCTTCGTTGATGACGCTATTAAATAAGAAGAGCTTTGGGGGTGGAAGAATACGTTGGTTGGAGCTAGTCACTATTGAGAAGAAAGGGGATGGAGACTAAGAACCAACACCACGGAATGGGCTAGGGGCGATATTTCATGACTGAAGATTCACATTCATACCAGGACGGTATGCTTGGACGCTGGGGTATATCTCTTTGAAGGGGAGCGCCTAGATAGTTGCCAAGGTACCTCCAAGTTGCTTGCTTTCTCGCTCTCATTACTCTCCCCGTCTTCGTCATCACGCTCCCTGTGCTCCCAGATATCCGCACCGAACTTCCGGTTTACGACTCGAATCTCCCCGTGGCTCGATCAAGACGCAGGGAGCCCCGTCAAAGGGACACTGTAGTGATGTTAACTGTTGTCCGACGTACCCCCAACGCATCTGAAAGGGGGGCTACCACGTACCCTATTGTAATCGGCCGGACAGACCTGGTCATCGCGGCTTGCGAGATGGCACTTGTTGCTCATTTGTGTGCAGGTCTACAACGCATCGTTCAGCAACCATGACTCCCTACATGCTGGTGAGTATGGTGGACTTACACCTCTCGTCCTGGTCTCATCCTGAGACTGTCTGACTTCGAAAAAGGCCAACCTCCTCGCCGAGACCGTGCCGAGGATCAGGAGCGCGGCGAGAATAAAGAGGTGGAAGTTGAACACGGCCATAGTCTTTTCTTCCCTTGCAACTGTCTGGGAGTATCGAGGACGTCGTTGGCGCGGTTGAGGAGAGGGGATAGAGTAGGTACGCGGTTGTGTGGTTGTCAAGCGAATGTAAGTCCTGCTCTGCACCAAACGAAGGGCAGTTGAATCAGAACAGAACGAAACTCTTTCGCCCAGGAAGAGAGGGTGCGGGGAGGAGTTCATCCTCTTTTTCTAACACACAAACAGACACACACGCACACACACTCACGAGGCACGTCCACGGGTGCGGTGCGGGAAGAACAGACGAAACGTCACCTTATTGCACCCGCGCGCAGTGGCGATACATTTTTGCCTACATCTTTGAGGTGGTCACACAAGCACACACAGACCCTTTCCCCTCCGCAGAGCCAGCAAAAAGAAGCTCAGGCATTGCGCGTTTCTTGTTTCCCCGTCGGCGAGGACAAACATGACTGCACCATTGTCGTCTCTAGTTGTTGTATTCGGTCGGAATGCTCGTGTGGTTGCAGTCGCCCTCCCGTCTTACGTAGATGTCATACGAATGGATCATTGCGAGAGGGGAAATGGAAGGGAAACATCGGGCGGAAATAATTACATCACTATCCTCCATTGTGATTGCCATTCATTCGTTCCTCTGTGTGCAATTACCAGCTTGGCTCAAGATGACAGGTGCGCCCAAGCGAATTGCTCCGGAGCTTCACAACACATCAGAGTTTCAACCCACCTGCCACTGAAGCTACCTACCTACCACCCTACCTTACCCTGGGTCCCTACCAAAAGGCAGCCCCTCCTCCATCGGGCAGCGAGGGGTTGCTTTGCATGGTTTGTGCTTGAAAAGAGGAGGGAGGGGGTGGGGGCCATCGGCTTAGGACTTGACTTGGCCGTCTCACCGCCTGCCGCTTCCAGCATGAAGCGGCGGAAACACCCCGCCAAAAAACACAATTCGCGATGGCATCAAAAAACCGGGTTTCGCCAGTGTCGTCGCATTGCGTAGTGATCGCATAATTTCTCTTCACCTCTCGCCTTGACTGCTTTGTACAAAGAACCACCGCGGCATCACAGAATACCACACTTAAAAATGGCTTCTGAACCCGCCCACCTGGAGCCCTCCAAGCTCGGAACAAAAGAATAGTACTGCTCCCCCTCCACACCCCTGGACTCCCTCCCCCAAGGCTAACGGACGGAAACCATCAGCTGGTCCTCTCTCTACACCACCGAACTCACAAACCACGCCTCCGACCCGACCGACCGCGGCACCGTCTGGTTCGACGACTCCGACGCCGAGTCCAAGCTCCTCACCTACCTCGAGGACCTGACCGAGTCCGCCGCCTTCGATCACTCCCTCCGCCAGCCCGACGCCACATTCCTCGACCTCGGCTGCGGCAACGGCTCCCTCCTCTTCGCCCTCCGCGACGAGGGCTGGCACGGCCGAGCCCTCGGCGTCGACTACGCGCCCCAAAGTGTCGAGCTCGCCCGCCGCATCGCCCGCCAGCGCGCCGAGGCCCCCAAGGAGGGGGAGGATGAGGACATGGCCGACGGCGACGAAGAGGAGGTGGACGTCAAGGAGCCCGAGTTCAACGAGTGGGATCTGCTCAACGGGCCGTGGGAGACCGTCCTGAACGGCAGCCAGCAGGACGGCTGGGATGTTGTGCTCGACAAGGGAACCTTCGATGCCATCTGCTTGAGCGACGAGAAGGATGCGCAGGGCCGGAGGATCTGCGAGGGTTACAGGGGTCGCGTCTTGCGTCTTGTGAAGCCCGGTGGCCTGTTGCTCATCACGAGCTGCAACTGGACCGAGGAGGAGCTCAAGGCGTGGTTCGAAGGCCCCGCGAGAGAGGGCGACGTCGGAAGGTTTGTTGCCGTCGGCAAGGTCGATTATCCCAGCTTCACCTTTGGCGGCGCCAAGGGCCAGACGATTAGCAGTTTGTGCTTCCAGAGACATGCCTAGACGCATGCCATGATGCAATGATTTGACGAGTAAAGAGAATCAAAAGAAAGATATGAATACCCCATGATCACGGCTGACCTCATGTGCTCGTTGCAACGCGTTCTTCTGACTGCTGCTGTGTATCATACATTGGTTTCTTTTTTATTGGGGAATCCAGGCAGCGTCACCTACCCTCAACTTTCCTCCACTTCTACGTCATGCAACCGATGCCCCGGAGCCGACCCTCCTGAAGTTCTCCTTGAATGACCTCTGAACATCCGTTCCCCTCTTTCTAGTCTCTTTTTTTGTTTTGCGATCCGAACAGGCCAGCTAAAGAAGCACCATAGAACTGTCGTGTTGCCGAAGCATGCAAGGTTAAGAATGTTGGGGCGGGCTCGGGTAAAAGATTGGGAATTGCTTCATTACGTCTCTCATCTATGGTGATGTATTCATAGGTTCGCCAGCAGTAGGTCCAGTCACGCTGTTCGCGGACGTTGTCGCAAAGTACCGCACGTCGACGTCGTCGTCCTTTTGCAGCTTCTCGAGCTTGGGGACGACGCGCGACTGGATCAGCTCCATACCTCTAGGGGACGGGCTGAAGTTGGCACCCTCCTTCTCCAGCGAGTAGATGGTACCCTCTTCCGGCAAACGGCGAAGGACGTCGATGAGAACGCCGTATGTCTTGGCAACATTGAAGCGAATGTTGGGAATCTCGTCGTCAACCAGCTTGTCGAGCATCGGGAGAATCTTGTCGGCGATGACGTCCATGCTGACGACCGAGGCGAGAGTCTACTAGATGTCAGTACGTATAAGCTGTGAACGGTGCGAGGATACTCACCGTGATGGCGAAGCAGGTTGTCATGCGGTAGAGGTAGTTGGGGTGGTTGCCCATAGCCATAACCTTGGGAATGATTGCCTCACTTGCCCATTCAACCCCGAAAACCTCAGTCAGCTTCTTCAAGTTGTGCGTCGCAGCCTCGCGAATAGAAAAGACCGTGTCACCCAACCAGCTCATGCACAGGTTGCCCAGCTTCTCGTCGAAGAACTTGACGCCGAGCTGGCTCGCGAGCAAAGGAATGTACTCGATAATCGCAAGCCTCACGCGCCATTGCTTGTCCTCCGCAAGCTGGGTAATCGCGGGAAGGAGAGATTGCGAGAGCAGGTCAATGCCAATAACTAGAATCAGTCAGCTTTGAACTCGTATCTTCTGGGTTGTCACATACCCTGATTGACAAGCTCAAGCTTTGAGATGATGTGAAGACGGACTTCGGGGAACTCATCCTTCAGCATCTGCAAGAACATGGGCAAAAGGTGGTCGATAGTCCTGGAACACGTTAGTCTCATACGTACGCTGTAAAGCGCTCCCCGCAGCCAAGAAACTCACTCTTGCTTGCCCAGGATGGGTGCAAGACCACTAATCTGCGTTCCAAGAGCAGCTCTGACGTGCTGAGAGGTATCGGAAACGAGATCCTCGACACTGCCCATGATATCGTTAAGAAGCACAGTCCTGTCGACCAGAGCGCAGAAGCCGGGTATTTGGCCAGCGATCGCAGTGCGGACCTCGGCCTCGTTGTCCTTCAGCAGCTTGACAAAGGACGGAACCAGATCTCTCGACACGACCTCCTCATCGACAGCTTTGGAAATCTGCGCGCACATTTAACATCACCTCTTCTCTTGATCACCGACGAACTCACCTTCTCAAATCTGTCCGCAATCATGTATCGAACCCTCCAGCTCTTGTCCTCAATCAGGTTGCGCAGAGAAGTAAGGAGGACGCCGTGGCTAGACTGCTGCTCCTTGGGAACGACTTCGGCGATGGAAATGAGGATTTCGACGGTGAGTAGGCGGACGGAGTCCTGGTCGTCTTGGGCGAGGTGCTGGAAAAGGGGTATCATCTCCTCAACAACGACGGCGGCCGGCATCTCCTTGACGAACTTTGACAGGTTGGTGGCAGCCTGACGTCTGACCATGGGTGTCTCATCGTGGACGAGCTGGCCAAACTGCTTCCGAAGCTCTTCTTGAACGCCGGGAGAAACCTTCTTGTAGGGGGTTGTGTAAAGGCCGCAGCCAGAGACCTTGGAGGTGAACCAGTCTGCTTTTGACAAACGGACCGTCAAGGGAATGAAGTATTCTTCGACTTGTTGGGAGGACAGCTCCTCGCAGATCTTGTTGAGGGACTCGACGGCCTGTGCTGGTTAGGCGACGTAGGTTGCAGGTGGAGAAGGGGGCGATAGCTACCTTGTCCCGCACGACGGGCTCCTCGATGGCAGCGAGGTTCTCGAGGGGAGATAGGAGGACGTGGCCCCATTGAGGGCCTCCGACATATTCGATGAAGTTGCCAAGCTCGCCGCTGAGAGCGACCAAGACCTCATCCTCGTCCTCGACAGATTCTAGTAGGTTGTTTAGATATGGCTCAAAGAGGGATGGGATGCGCGACACTAACCGTCGAGGAAGGGGATCAGCTCCTCGCGCGTGCGCTCGGCGCCCAGGGCGAGGGCGATAGTAGAAAGGCGGTGGATGGCATTGAGGCGCAGGAGGACATCGTCGTGCTGTATTTAATCTGTCAGCATCGAAGGTGCGCGGCGGGTGGATGGATGGTGGTGGTGGTAGCAGCAGTCTGGTCGGGCAGGAGGCCGAGGACGGGCAGGGAAGAGGGACAGTCACCGCCATACCTTTAGCTCGTCGATGAGGACGGCGATGGGGTAAAGCTCGTCCTGGGTATTCGGCGCGTCTGCCATGGCGAGCAATTCGGGCGCAGGCGCGTCTATCGATGGGTTGGTCGAAGGATGTGAAGGGGAAAGGTTGTCGACGTCTTTTGGGCGATCGGGGTGGATCGCGTGCGAGTGATGCAATGGGTCGGTTGAGGGCGAGCGACGGTCGTTGTGGGATGGGGGGCTCTAAAATCTGAGACGACGCAACCGGGATGGTGGATGGTAATTACTACGAGGCGGAGGTTGCAGGTGAGCAGACCATGCCACGATCCGAAGGGCGGGTTGGCGGCAGAATCAGCAAGATATCGCGGCAATGGTGGAGAAGGAAAAAGGTGGTGTTGATTTCAGATGGTGGACGGAGGCAGCGAAGGGCAAGGAGAGGCAAGTTTGACGACGCCGTTCTGTTCTGGTCTGGTCTGGTCTCTGGCCGCTGGACGGGAGGTCGACCTGACGTTTCTGTCCTGTGCTGCTCGCCGGGCTGGGTTCTGCCAGCCAGTCCCACCACCGCAGCGTGGCCAGTGAGTGAGATGCAGCGTGCTAAAAGGTGGGCTAGCAAAGCTTCCACTGATCAACAAATGCCATGCCCTGCCCGAAGGTACACTGTATCTGTGACCACGGGCGGCACCTCAGGGCAGCGTCCAGTGCCCAGCTGAGATCCAATGCTGCCTTCCATTAGGTAAGGTACGTACTTTCCGGGCTGGATCTTGGAGCCTTGGACGACGTAAGGCAGGGGTGCAGTTCACAGTGGCTCTTTGGTGATGGGAGGGGCTGCCTGCCTCTTGCCTCTTCTCAGGCGAGCAGCGCAAGCCTGCCTACCTACCTTGGGATACGAATTTCTTTCTGCAACGCATCTTCATCGTTCTAGAAGGAAGGAAATGCACAAATTTCCCTTTTCATGCCAGAATGGCAAGATCCTACGGTGTAAACAGAACATGATCCTCCCGAGGCCTGCAGCAGAACACGGCCTTTCGATCAAGCACCAGACGAAAACTCCATGCAAGAGACTCACACTTGATGGAGGGGCGATGACGAGGTGCAGCTGAGCTACAAGTACGTATATGAGCTGCAAGTGCTTCGCCCAGAGGCACCTGCCTCACGGATATGGCCTCCGTGCGCTGGTGACGATGCTTGATTCCAGAAACCAAGCGCGCGCTTCACGCATGGAGACGTCACGTCAGGCTTCTGTCAAATGCAAGGCAACGCCAACAAACATGGAGCTCTCTCGTCTCTCACCTCGTGTCTGTTTCTCGGGCAAAAACATGTGGAACTGGAATGTAGAACATATGGCTGCGTCTGGGCGCGGACGCACTGGTCGCCAGCTGTTATCAGGAGCCAACATCAACGACGACAGATCAGTCCAGCCCGTGGCTGCCCGTCCCGGTCTCGCTTGCCGAGCACGAGCCACATCGGACCCTGGAAAATTGAGATGCCGAGTCTGCCCGCCGCTTTTGCAGCCCCTCAACCCCGCACTCCCTCAATTGGCGCCAGGACCACTCCGATGACTCTTTTGGCTGCGTAAAGCAGCAACTTCATCCCGCCAGTGACCCTCTGTACATGCAGTTGCTTGACCTCCGACAATCCCCCAAAATTTCTGTGACTCAAGGCCACTCGGAGAAGGACAGCGACCACTTCACGGAGCCTCTCCCGCCCTCTGACGACCGCCGGACCGATATTTCCTCGAGAGATTCTCGTCAATTCTCACCATGCCTACCATCGCCGTTAACAAGTACGATTTGTACAAGGCCCTGGGCCAAAAGTGAGTCGCGCCGCGGTCGCACCGCCTGTCCAGACCCAGATCACGACCCCGCCATCCCGAGTGCCCCTCCGCTAAACATCACCGCACACAGCTTCACCACCCAGGAGTTCGAGGACCTTTGCTTCGAATTCGGTATCGAGCTCGACGAAGACACCGAGAATGACGAGCGACCTATCGTCAATGGCGTGCAGGAGCCGCCCCAGCTCAAGATCGAGATCCCCGCCAACCGATATGATATGCTGTGTTTCGAGGGAATAGCGCTCATGCTCAACATCTTCAGGGGAAAGGTCGCCCCCCCAAACTACAAGGTCGTTGAGCCTAAGGAGCCCGAGACTCAGGTCATCACCGTGGCCCAAGATACCAGCAAGATCCGTCCCCTCGTTGCCGGCGCTATCCTCAGAAACGTCAAGTTCACCCAAGAAAGCTACGACTCCTTCATCGGCCTCCAGGACAAGCTGCACATGAACCTGGCGAGACAAAGGACATTGGTGGCTATTGGTACTCACGATCTTGACACCATTCAGGGCCCCTTCACGTATGAGGCGCTGCCCCCCAAGGACATCAAGTTCAAGCCCCTGAACCAGACCAAGGAGATGAATGGCGAGGAGTTGATGCAGTTCTACGAGGGCGACAAGCACCTTGGCAAGTACTTGCACATCATCAAGGACTCGCCTGTCTACCCCGTCATCTACGACAAGAACCGCACCGTTTGCTCCTTGCCGCCCATCATCAACGGCGACCACTCCAAGATCACCGTCAACACGACAAATGTCTTCATCGAGATGACAGCTACCGACGCCACTAAGCTCGACATCGTTTGCGACATGATGGTCACCATGTTCTCTCAGTACACCGCCGAGCCTTTCACCGTAGAGCCTGTCAAGATCGTCTCCAAGCACAACGGTGCCTCAAGGACGACGCCCAGTCTCGAGCCCCGCACTATTGACGTCGAGATCGACTACCTCAACGCCTGCACTGGCCTGAACGAGTCACCCGAGACGCTTTGCAAGCTTCTCACCAAGATGGCATACATCGCCAAGCCGTCAGAGAAGGACAGCAACCTTTTGAGTGTCACCATCCCAGTTACCCGCGCCGACGTGTTACACCAGTGCGACGTTATGGAGGACCTCGCCATTTGCTACGGCTACAACAACCTCCCCAGATCCTCTCCCAACAAGAGCGCGACCATTGGTGCGCCTCTTATGATTAACAAGCTCGCCGATATCATCCGGAATGAGGCCGCCATGGCTGGCTGGAGCGAGGTCTTGCCCCTGATTCTGTGCAGTCACGATGAGAACTTTGGTTGGTTGAACAGGAAAGACGACGGCAAGACCGCCGTAAAGCTCGCCAACCCCAAGACTGCCGAGTACCAGGTCGTTCGCACATCTCTGGTCCCTGGTCTCCTCAAGACTATTCGCGAGAACAAGAAGCACAGCGTACCCATCAAGATCTTCGAGGCTTCCGACGTCGTCTTCAAGGATGAGTCCCTGGAGCGCAAGGCTCGCAACGAGCGCCACTTTGCTGCTGCGTGGTACGGCAAGACCTCTGGTTTCGAGATCGTTCACGGTCTCCTGGACCGCATCCTGCTGATGCTTCGCACCGCCTTCCTCACTCACGACGAGGGTCTGACGGCTGGCAAGAGCCTTGACTTCAAGGTTGCCGAGAACCCCGGAAAGCCGGACGGCTACTGGATCGAGGAGATTAACGAGGACACCTTCTTCCCTGGCCACGCGGCTGCCATTTACCTTCGCCTTGGCGGCAAGGAGCAGCGCATCGGCGAGTTTGGCATCCTGCACCCCACCGTGCTGGAGAAGTTTGACTTGAGGTACGACCTCCCCCCACCCCCCTCCCTTGACTGCGATAGAGAATGCATATTAACCAACATAGATACCCCGTGAGCACCCTTGAGATCAACCTTGAGGTCTTCTTGTAGTGATGAGCATGATGGGACATGTGGACATGACGGTTGGCTACGGAATTTTAAAAAAAATAAAATTAAAAGTTTGGCGATGCGAGGGCAGACAGACATAGACTTGTTCCCTGGACCAGAAGTGGGCCCAAAATATTGCCGGATAAAGTAGACTGAAGACCAAAAAAAGATCGAAAGAAAGATGCCGTCTGTTGTTGCAAGGTGTTGCATCCATGACAGCTTGCCTGTGTGAGGAACATACTCAGTATGCCAGTGTTCGTTCAGACTTCACAAGGAAAGCAAGACGCGACTTTAACTAATTAGAATTAAGAAACTTCTCAAAGAGTACGGGGAGTTCAAAACCGAAGGCGGATCTATATAATGAGCCCCAAGTGCATCCCTTTCCTGCTCGGTCGGACGCGTTCAATTGCTCCGCACCTTTTGTTTTCCAGACCCTTCCCATCTGTATTGCCCTATCCTTCTGCCCCTGGACCAACGCTCTTTGAATGCAGGTCGTTTCGCCTTGACGCCAGAAAGCAGTAGCGGCATGTCTCTATTTGCCCCCCTGCGGAAAGAGGCCGAAAGCGAAGAAACAAAATGGTCGTAATGAATGTACAAAACTCCTAGTGGCGTGTCATGAAAACCGTGAAAGTGTCGAAGGCCTCTCTTTTCTCACTTCTCCATTCGTACAAATTTTTCTCGTTTGCACTTTGTGTGTTTGTTGGAACGATCAAAGTTTGAACTGAACGCCTTAGACGCCATCTTCACTGGGAACCCATTTGAATCCCGTGCAAGATACTGCCGTTATCAGCTGAGGGGGCATCTTCATTGTCTTCCACCATGACAAAGACGCTGTCGTCGGCCATCTCATCGAAGCTGTTGTCAAGACCGTCAGGGATGAGGTCGCTCTCGGTGATGGGGACGATGGTGTCCTCACAAAGGCTCATGTCGTCGCTGTCGGCCGTGGACATGCTGTCGCTGCTCATTTGGCTGCCATTGGTGGTGTCGCCACTGATGCTGGTCTCGTCGCCACTGCTCTCGTCGCCGCTTGTCTCGTCGAAAGTACCGTTCATCGTGTAACCAGCAGGCGGCCACTCATTGTCGGACTCCTCGCCGATCATGTACCCGTGAAAGCTCATGACGCCCCAGTCCAGCATGCCTTGACTACCCCAATCTAAGGCAGACTCCAAATGCGACTCAGAGACTGTCGCCGCATCGGCAGAGTTCGTGGCTACTGACATATTCTGCGGTATCTTCGCCAAGTTCGCTGCGTTCAACTTTGAAACAGTCTCCGTCAGCACTTCTGTCATCCCCGCCAACTTCACTCCCACCTCTGGGTCTCTCTTCGATTCCGGCATTGACTCACTGTCGCTCGGGTAATCAGGATCCCAGTTCTCCCTATGGTAGAGGTCTGCATCGAAGAGCATAGTAGATTCGGTCTCTTCGATCAGGTAGGGCGGGTCGGGCAATTGCGCGAAATTGACACCCTAAGTCATCTCCCGTAGCTCTTGCTCGCCGCGAGTCGGGACCCTCGAGGTTGAGGCTGGACTGCCATTGCGATTGTTGGTACCCAGGTTGTTGAGCATGCCGGTGACGTTGCGACCAATATTGAGGTTTGCGATTCCGTCCGCAATGCCGTCTCGAATAGACGAGAAGGCATTCGGGTTCTCAGCCGAGGCACTCCGTTGAAGGTGTCGCTCCTGTCCCTGCTCCAATCGTCGTCCCTGGCGTTGCTCCTCGGGTGTCAGAGTGGTGTGTGATGATTCCACCGCAGCGAGAACAGACTGGCTAGCCGCCAGCGAGGGTGGCTTGGAGCCGGGAGTGTCGTCAGGAGGTGTGCCAGGATGGCTGCTCGCGTAGGACTCTTCAGTCGCCGGCTGGAAGTTGGCCATGGCCGAGGCCTTGTTCTGAGCCTGCGCAGCTGTGGCGTGCAGGTTCGAGTTCATCTCCTCGTCAGACCGGTTGAAAAGCTGGTGCCACCAGATAATATCCTTGAGGTCTGTCTTAATGATCGAATCACGACCCTTGACGTATTCGTCAATGGTGGGATCGTAATCCTTGTTGATGAACTCCTGCTTGCGAGCCAGGAAGTAGTCCCAGACAGACTGAGTGCGCTCAGCAGCACGGGCATCGCGTCTCTGCTTCTCGGAGTTATATAGGAAGGTTCCATACTGGCAAGAGTAGAGGTGGTAGAGCAGCCGGCGAAGAAATCGCTCATTAAACTCAAACTTGGTTGGGTTCTGCCGCAAAAGCTGGTAGACGCAGTCCAAGAATTGGTGGAACACGGGGCTGATCATCTTAGGGACGGTGGCCTCGTCGTTGGCAACCTTGCCAGTCGCTGCCTCGCCAATAGCGTCAAGCTGCTCTGTGGGGTCATCCTTATTCTGGTTGAAGAACCGGCGCGCTCCGGCAATGACGTTCTGGAATGCGTCTGCGCGGCCGTCATTCTCGCCAGGCTGGACGGTTTGACCAGCCATGCCATCTCTCTGAACATTGAACCAGCTCTCATGGTTCAAGGGTCCAGACCGCAGTCTGAACATGTGGCCAAAAGACAACCAATCCTTCTCCACCAGAACCATGAATCCCCCAATGGTACGGAAGTATGGGTCCAGGAGGATCTGAGCAAGGGCGCTGAGCTGACTTGTGCGGTCCCAACCATCAGAGCAATGGATCAACACATGAGAGTGCTTGTACCAGATCTGTCGAGCAATAATCTCAGCACCGTTGAGCACTGCTGCGGTGTGCTTGAGCCAGCCAGTTGCAAAGAGGGCGTTTTGGTCAGGCGGCAAGGGCGAGACATCTGCGTCTTTGATGCAGTCCACAACCTTGTTCAGAGAGTTTCTCATGACGTGAATGTTCTCAATGTTCATAAAGGCCTTTGTGGCACCAGGGTAGCGGTCCATGGGCTCCGATCCCATTCCTTGGACTTGGTTGACCATAGCGTTGACAGTGGGCCGGGCGTCGACAATCATGTTGGCTTGCTGAGCTCCATAAACAAGCCTCTTGCCAGTCTTCTCGTCGTAAACCTTGGGCGCAGCATCCTCGATGATGCTCTCCTCGTACTTCTCGAGCTCTGAAAGACTGGTGGTCTCCGAAGCCGGCAACTGGGGAGGCTGCTCGGAGTCGACGCTGGTCCGGGGAACACGCTCCGCGAACGACGCCAACACAAGCTTCTCGTCCTGAACATTGTTTTTCCTGGTGATGCCCGACAAGGGCTGGGCGCTGCGAGTAATGGTGCAGTTGTTGACCTTGTGAATATAGCTAAGAGCCGGGATGCGGTTTCTAGAGCGGTAATCCTTGGCGTACTTGAGGACATTATCGGAGATGGAAGAGGGAACCACAAGAACGGCAGGGTACGTGTCGCAAAAGGTATAGTCCTTGTTGATGTTGCTGATTCTCCATCCCAAGTCCGCCGACTTCTCGCTAATACCCTGTCGACGGAACTCGGCTCTCGGATCGTAGATGTGCCAGCCATTGACGTGCTTTTCGACCTTGGAGGGCTTATGATGGAACGCGAAGAGCGACTCGACGGAGGGAAGCTTGCAGGTTCGGGCCTTGATGAACTCGAACACCTCCTTGGCAGCTTTGTCGTCTTGGAATGTGAAGGTGACGAAGACGAAGTCGCGACAGCGGATGCGGATTGAGCTATGAATGCCAGTGGTCGGGGGCATGAGCCGGAGTTGCACATTTGACAGGATAGGAAACGTAATCCATGATTCGCGAGTCTTGGGTGCTTGGTTCGGCGGTTGAGGGAGCGGTTGGTCCTTTGAGGCTTTGACCGGGACGCAGTAGACGAGGTGGTAGTCGGTCAGACGAAGGGTGCCGGTGGAGGTGACTCCGCCGCTGATGCCCTGGACGTTCTCGACCACCTGTTGGACAACACGTTAGTACACCTCTTTTGGGAGATGGAGAGCGGGAGGGAAGGAAGCAAAATATTAATTCAGCTGAAGGGTCGCGTAACTTGCCTTTCGGGCCTCCATATTGAACTGCGAGTGATGATATTGCTTTTTAGCTAGAGGAGCATGGCCGCGCGGGATATCCGGAAGGTGAGGGAGCGTCGTAGGTAGGTCGGCAGGTTAAATCACTCGAAGAGGGCAGCTTGTGAGGCCGCACGACTCCTTCGAAGTGAGCTTGAGCAAGAGAGAAGAAATGCGAAGGGGAGAGATTTTCGTTGGACCGCGCGGCGTTGGATTTTGGAGGTTGCGCAAGTCAAGCAAGGTTTGGGATAAGGTAGAGGTCGGGTCAGTGGTCAGGTCGGCTGCTGGTGTCGCAGGGCAGGCGCAGACAGCAGACGCAGGAAGGAGCGACGGGTCGGCTGTGGCCCCACTAGCGAGGGGCTGAAAACAGACTTCACGGCCTTTGGTCTGCGGCCTGGGCACTGAAGCACCCCAGCTGCTGCAGCTTTCATGTGCTGCTCTTCAGTGACCAGGTCTTTGATGTTTCTGGCCGCTTTGTTTACTTTGGGATGATGAAGATGTTTTTGCTGTTTTCTTGTGAGTTGTCTCTCTGCCTTTCTTTTGATTTTCTCAGGTCGATAGTCTAAGAGGTCATTCAACCAAGTCTCTGTCTGAGCAGGGAAATTTACGGGAGCTACCTCCAGCAGTTGCATCACCAGGGGCATGTGCTGGACATCATCATCAGGTAAGGATTTTGGCGGTGTGTTTCCCTCTCCTTGTGTGTATCATCATCGTTTGTGCAGCCAGACGTATTTGAGCTAAAACGTAATCTGTTCCTTGAATCATGTTCTGGAAAACACACCAAAAAACATCACCAGCAAACATCGCGACGTGAATCGCAGCTCCAGGTCCAGACGGACTGCCTGAAATGTCACCCACCTGACGTCTTCAGCTGTGTGACCTGTGACCGGCAGCTTCCAGTGATACCTTAGCCAGGGAGCATTCTGCCCCACCAACCCGTGGTGAGCTGGTCGCCCTGGGGTAGGTGTGGCGCGGTGTCTTCAGATGTGAATTCACTGTGACCCCTTGAAACCCCACACTCCCGTCAGGTCCCGCCCGGGAAACGGAAAAGTCTATCCCGATGGCCGACCTCTAGCCAGCTGGCTGCAGGTGGATTGTCAGCAAGTCGACGCTTACCTAAGGCGAGGCGGCGCGTTGCAGGGAAAAAAACCACTTTGGCTGGGAGCAAGGCAGGCGCGTGGGGGGACGTGCGCCCGGTGCAGACACTGGAGGGAAGGAAAAAAGCACAGACCACGCAGGTCAATCGAGACTCTAGGGCTTCACACAATTTTCCTTCCCACAGCGAGAATTCCCGCTTCTGAGCCGAGCCGGACGAATCGAGCTGCTTTGACAACCTCATTTACTCGCCAACACCACCCCCCGACGACGTCGAACTTCTAACCAACCCGTCCACCTATCCCAACCCCTTTCGACACCGGGCAAAGAAAGTCAAGATGGCTGTTCCAGGCACTCAGATGTAAGCCAATTCCCCCTCCTCTTCCTCGGCAGTGACGATTACACTTTTTTTGCGTCTTGCGCTGGGAGGACGAACCCACCCCCGCCAAAATTCGAGGTTTCGCGATGATGGGAGAAGGGAAGAAAACGACGACGAAGACGAAGAAGAAGAACAGGCCTGGCTTTGCCATGGACTACACGAGCAAACAATGCTGACTTTTGTTTCTTCACAGCTCCAAGCGCAGAAAGTTCGTCGCCGATGGCGTCTTCTACGCTGAGCTCAACGAGTTCTTCCAGCGCGAGCTGGCCGAGGAGGGCTACTCCGGCGTCGAGGTCCGCGTCACCCCCACGGTAACCGACATCATCATCCGCGCCACCCACACCCAGGAGGTCCTCGGCGAGCAGGGACGCCGCATCCGCGAGCTCACCTCCCTCATCCAGAAGCGCTTCAAGTTCCCCGAGAACTCCGTCTCCCTCTACGCCGCCAAGGTCCAGAACCGCGGTCTCTCCGCCGTCGCCCAGTGCGAGTCCCTCCGCTACAAGCTCCTCAACGGTCTCGCCGTCCGCCGTGCCTGCTACGGTGTCCTCCGCTTCATCATGGAGTCCGGCGCCAAGGGTTGCGAGGTCGTCGTCTCCGGCAAGCTCCGTGCCGCCCGTGCCAAGTCCATGAAGTTCACCGACGGCTTCATGATCCACTCTGGCCAGCCCGCTAAGGACTTCATCGACTCCGCCACCCGCCACGTTCTCCTCCGCCAGGGTGTCCTTGGTATCAAGGTCAAGATCATGCGCGGCTCCGACCCCGAGGGCAAGGCCGGTCCCCAGAAGACCCTCCCTGACGCCGTCTCTATCCTCGAGCCCAAGGAGGAGCAGAGCGTCGTCCAGCCCATGTCCCAGGACTACGGTGCCAAGGCCGCCCAGGCCCAGGCCGCTGCCGAGGCGCAACAACAGGAGCAGCAGGAGGGTGGCGAGGAGGCTGAGGCCCAGTCGTAGGAGGCTGTCGAGCCCCAGGCTTCTTCGACCGACGAGGTTGATGACTACCAGCAGTCTGCCAACAACTACCAGCAGCAGCAGCAGCAGCAGTCCAGCATGTTGCACACTATTTGGTAGACTGCTATTTTCGGACAACTGTCTCGCTCGCTTCCTTCTTCTCTTTTCTCCAAAAAGATTCGCGATTTGGGAAAAACAAAAAGGTGTCGCGCGAACAGCAAAGGGAGGACGGGGGTGGAATACTACTCAGGCGTCTTGATCACATTTGCATCACTCTGCGAAAAAGGGAATTCGGATAGTTGCGACTGGCTTGTAATGGTACAAACCATGAAATGAGCAACGAAATCATTCAATCAACATGTGTCAATCTCATGTGAAGTGACGTGATGTCTGCCCCCGTTCCGTGGAGAGGAACAGAGCAGGAAGCAGTTGTGTGAGATGTGCCCATGACTTCATTGGGCCTATGTTAACAATTTCAAGATACCCGCATCATCCGTCCAGCCCGTCTCACTGAGATCATCGAGTTGCGACGGCAATTTTGCTTGTCATACTTAATTCAAGGCTCTGGATGGCCTGGTCTATGGTGCTCAATGCTCTGGACAAGAAATCAAATGCCGTCTCGCCCGGCGAAACAGAGCGTGCCTCTCTCACGCTCTCTTCCCGTTCGCCCTTAATCGTACAAGAGGTGCTTCCGCACTTGGAACTATGCAAACCCCGATGAACGCCCCGAATGTCCGTCCCGCCCTGTAATACTCCTCGTGCCGTGGCGGAAGTGAAAATGGTATGGAAAACTGCTTTCTGGTTTCCCACTGCTCCCCTCCTTTACTCGAGGTGCGCCTGCACCTTTTCCGTGGGTCTGTGCCTCTTTCGTTGGATCCGATCATGTCGTGGAGAACTTCTCAGTCATATGGCTTCGAGAGAAAATGTACAATGCTGCCCTTGAAATCGGGCCCTGGGTAAGAGAAATGCTTCGAGAAAAAGACAACTACCTCCTCAACTTCTACCAATAACTAGGAAACAGACTTCCGTGTCTTGCCTCCTCACCTATCGGATCGCTGATTTTGAAGCTCAATGGTCTCGTTGTAGGACTTGGAGTGGCCATTGGCGGATCCATTGCCTCTGCGGTGGTCGATTTCGTCGTCGCTATCATCAGCAAGGTCGGTCAACCCAAACTCGGCTCCAGCCTCCTCGTCGTAGGCTCTCATCAGACCGGTCGTGTCACCGTGGCGGCTGCCAATGCTCATTCGCGGGTCGGTGCTTCTGCGCGCCTGCATGCTAAGGCGAGTCTGAATGGTTGAGACCATGTCCGTGCCCATGGCATCCGAACCACCGCGGCCAGCAACCAGGTGGTGTCCATTCGGGTCGGATCTCGAAAGGTTAAGCAAGTAGACACCGGTGAAGGTGACCAAGAAGCCGCAGATCAGGGAGATCGTATTGACGGTGTCGGTGGTGTTGAAACCGCCAAAGAGAATGAACGAGGCGCAAAGGGTCGCGGTCGTGAACGTTACGTAGTAAAGGGGGTTGACGCTACGTGGCACCTGATTAGCGCAGCCCGCGGCCGCCGACGCAGAAAATAGCATGCGACTTACATGTTTGTGGGGAACTGGGCGAGCGCCTTGTTGAAGTAGTTCATTTGGGTCAAGATGCAAACGGCCGTCAGGATCATGAACACGTAAGTCGACGGGTGGGAAAATTGGTTGTTTCCGGCGAATGTGAGCTTGAGGGCAATACCAAAAGCCTTGACAGACATGACGGAGACCGAGCCGACCGTCGAGCAGATCGAGAGGTAAATGAGGGCGTTCTTCTTTCCGTGGACTGGCGCAACCTTGTAGATCATGACAACTGCGAAAACAGTGACCGCGAAGGCGTACAGCAGGAAGCCTGGTACCGTGTTAGCTTCAGTCGCAACGCCGGCTCTGGCCTGCATCGAGACTCACCAGGCTGAATGGCGTAGTGCAGGATCTGGTCAATCGTCTGAATGTCCTCATCTGGAGGCGCATGAAGGACGATGATGACGGCGCCAATCAAGCAAATGGCACTGCCGAGACGGCCCAGAGTACCGAGCTCTTCCCTTAGGAAGTAGGAACCAAGTACAGCTCCGATGAGGACAGATAGAGCTCCTAGAGGTGTGACGAGAATCGCAGGCGCAAAGGCGTAGGCCGCAAAGTTGCAGATTTCTCCGACAACCACTGAGTAAGGGTTAGCGACAAGCGCCATCTGAGGGAAATCGCACAAGCTCACAAGTCGTAATACCAGCCCACCATACCGGGCTCTTGAGGTAGACAAAACCATCTCCCTCAAATCCATGGCGCTCTTCCGCTTGCATGAGACCCTATAGCGACCGTCAGTATCGGCGTCGCAAATGATTGATGGGTTGATCGAGGTGGCTCTCGATACGGCGGCAAAAGGTCGCGTACCTTTTTTGTGATCACGAAACTGATTCCTGTGGTTAAGCAATTAGCAAAGAGAAGTCGAGCTGCAGAACAAGTAGCAAATGCGTACCTATGGCTAAACTGGATGCCATGGCCAAGGCAAGGCCAATGTATCTGCGCGGGATGGTGTCAGCGAGCTCTGCTCTCAAGGCCAGGTGGACGCATCGGCATTGCGTAGCGAACGCTTCGTACGCCGAACAGATCGCAAACGTACTTCTCGTCTAACATCATGTTGCCAAAAATGAGCGCGGTACCGGCGACGGAGAGCCAAATGAGCGTCAGGTTCTGATAGATGCGTGCGCCGTGGCGAGGTGGTTGCTGAGAGAGTGTCGTGTCCCGTAGATGGGAGCTGGCGAGGCTCGCGCCGGGCGAGGAAGATGGAGAGGTTGGAGGTAAGGTCGAACGTCGTCAGCAGCGACACATGGAAAGACGATACAACTCTCGAAGACTCCAGCGTTTGGAAGGCCGAGTCACAGGTTCGTGGTGGAGGGCGATGGTCGCTGGTCTTCGGGGTTCGATCTCGTCGGGTTCGAATCGAGTCGAGGGGGTCGCCTTCGTGGTCTCTCGTCTGGACAGGACAGGTCGGTGGGTTGGCGCGAGTGGAAGGCCGAAAGGAGAGGGAGAGATGTTTCGTGGGATTTTGCAGATAAAACTGTGAGGGCGGTACGTAGTGTGACAGGCCGAGCCGTGATCGGTACCTCGCAACGATAAGGCAAGAGGGCGGCAAACCAAGGTAGCCTTCAGGTAATGAGGTGGTAGCTGGCAGAGGCGGGTGTGGTTCCTCGCAGTTTGGCAGTGGACGCGGAGTGGGTAGGTGCGTGAGGTCGGGAGGAATGCCAACCAGCCAGATAGGGACAGGTTTGAGTTTCAGAGGCCCCTGTGAAGGGTGGAAATGGTGCCCTGTTGCAAGTCACAAGTCACTCTGGGCAGGAGACAGAGAGAGTGTGTCCAATCTGTGTGTGTGCGGGAAGAAGCTGTGGGGGAAGAGTGTCAGAGCTATGTACCTCTGTAGCCGGGAGGTTAGAGATGGTACCTGTGGCCGATGATGTTCCTGGATCAGATTGGCTAAGAGGTTGCTGCGATAGGTCCCTTCTTTTTTCTTCCCCCTAGTCCTCTCTCTGGAAAGAACTTGGCTGCGGCGCAGAGTTGTTGAGTGAGAGTGGGTACATTTATCGACCCCAACTAACCGCTGTAAAAATAAAAGATACTTTATTCGGCCCAGTATCTTACGCGACACGAGGGGCTGAGGCCGAAGGGGGACTGCTAGATCGAGTCTTGGTCTGGCCAGTGAGGTGGGCAGAGGACACCAGGTAAGGTACCTTACAATGTAGGTGCCTTAGGTACCGTAGTGGATGGTGGAGTACGGGGAACGGCGTCGGCGACGGACCACGAGTGACAACGACCAGGACAGACTGTCCACTTTTGGGAGGGACAGCAGAAGCTCAGCCTGCTGCTGCAAGCTAGCTGCTGTAGCGGAGGAGGTCCAGTACCTCTCTAGATTGGTTGACCGTGTGGCAGGTCGCTGGCCGCGGGTAATGTGATGAGGCGAGGCAAAGGCGAGGTGGTGTGTTTTAGCGACCGACAGGGCAGCGCAGCTGTGACAGTCAGCACAAGACTGAAGAACGGAACGAGGCACAAGGACGCTGCTGATGGCGATGTGCTTCTTGTTCCTCTGCTGTCTCTGCCATACAAGTCAGTCACTCGATTCATGCTGGCTGCTGCTTGTTGGAACTGCAAACTGTCCGTTCCGCTCCCGTACCTACCTACACTACCTTACGAACACCGTGGCGATGATGCTTGTATCCCGTCTGTGCATGGAATTGTACGCAGCCTGTACAGATGCTTGACGGATGACGGTCGGAATCAGGAGGATGGAACACCCCTCGCATGCGATTTTGGACGGAAAGCCATTTTCCTGACACAGACAAATTCTGCAGGGACGCCAAGTCTCTGTGCCGAGTCCTGTACCTTTTTTTCGTCTCTTGTTTTTTTCAATGGCTTTCTGCAGTTGCTCAGATAGGACATTTCTGATTCTCTACGTTTTCTCGAACCAGATCCTCTGGATATTCCACTGTATAATCTCATCCTGGATCCTCATCGGTATCCCCCAGTGACAATCCCCAAACCAAGGCACGCGCCTAGCCCGTTGACTGAGGTCACCATCGGCCAGGGGGGTCGGAACTGGCAATCGGTCCCTGACTTGTCCCCCTCGCCTCCCCGTACCACGACAGGGGGTGAAAGTGAACCGCCGGCTGGTGAGCGTGGGAGGTTCCGCCGGTCTCTTGGGTTCTCCGCAGGGGGCATCGAGGCATGCCCAGCTGGTTGACACTGCACACTCTCCTATCAGCGTTGGACGGGGGCCTGGATCTTTCTACCACTGGCTGCAAGGTCACATCCACACTGGACTTACGACGCCTACCAGCTTGTGTGTGTCTGTTAATTAGCGGGATGGCTGCTCTTTTCGGTCAGGAGAAGGAGATTTTTTGACGTTCCATACGAGATCGATCCCCCGAGGCACAAGCACCAAGCATCAGGGCACAATCGGCATTTCTATTTTTCAACTCGTGCATCTGCACCAACCAGCCAAGTGGGGTCGTTGAAACAGCTTCATTACGAATGACACTGTGAAAACCCGCTTCACTCCCTCTGTGCCTTCGCTCTTGACACGACCAAACGGGATCCTCTTTAATTAAACCACAGCCACACCCTCTAATACACATAGTGCACCTTCGTCGTCATCACCTTCGCTGCTGAACCTGTGAACGGCGAACGCTCCCACTGTAAATGTCCGTCTACCCGGCTGTTTCTATCCGTAGATATCAGGCAGACGTTGTATGCCAACATGTTACACCTGTGTTCAACGATCCATACTCTACCCAAGTTGAGGTATCCCACAGCGTCCCTTGAAGGAACTGAGGAATGCAGAGGCGGGACCATCGTGACCAGCCTCTAGGTATCTCACCCACGAGAGACTTCCTATCCTCCCCTGAATCCCTGCAAACCAAACAAAAATTACCACACACAGCCTCGTTGCAGATGACAGCTCGTTTGTCCTTCCACTTCCTAGCGTCCATCACTTCCACTCCCCTCCCTCGTTCAGCAGTTAATGCGGCAACGCGGCCGCCCGGGAACCGCATAACGAGAACGGTTGTCGAAACAAACTGCCATAACGTCTGCCCTCTTAACGACGGGCCACCACCACAAGGATCCCCACGTCTGCAATAGTCGAGACCTACTCAACCAGACACAAAAGTCTATTCCACCACACCACTTTTTTCTGGCGACTCGATCCTTCTGCTCATTAACATCGTCGCTAACTGCATTTCGTTCGCGTGGTCTTGCATTGAAATGCTCGCCAGCGCAGCAAAGAAAGCCCAAGCTTCCATTGACCCTTTTCCTCGCAGGGCTTCTCGCATCCCATCGCGCCGTCATCCCCCTGGCCGTTCCTGATCCATTGCAACCTTCAAAATCTCTGCCCACGTTGGAATCAAAACTAAGACTTAGGATGAAGTGAACCCAGGGCCACTGCTCGTCATAAACCAATATCCACTCCAATCATCAGGAACCGTTTTAAAATCCTTTTTGCCGAGTTGCCAAGGCGGTTCTTATAAGCGTATTTTGCATCTTGACTTGAAGACGACTAGTTGTTAGACCGTCAAACAGATGCTGTTTTATGATGAAGGTCGGACGAGCCCAATCACTCGTCCTCTATTCAGCGCCTCGTCGTCCCATCTGTGGTCCAAAGGCCTTGTTAGCACGTGACGAATTCAGAAGATGCACCAAAGGGTATCTCCTGACGAGGACATTCCCTCCAAAAAATGACTCGTCATATGCAATTAGCTTGTATCGAGTATGATGTGTATTCATCGTGACTACGGAATCATCGAAAAGGTCATCCATAAGAGAAACAGCGCAACCCGGTGAGTTGGCACGTCAACATGCCTACGTCTCCAAGCAGGCACCTGCATCCCGTGACTGAGTCTACCTCTCATGGAACACATTCCAGAGGAGCATCGTCAAATATTGGACCTGCCTGCCTCTCGTGCACAAAGGAGGGTCGTTGCCTTGCTGAGCAGGCCTTTTGACCACCTCACGATCGACCTGCCGCTGTACAAGAACATCGCCCACCGTCCAGGTTGTCCCACCATTTTCACCCGCCTTGTACGCCATAAATCCACCAACATCGCCAGATAGTAGACGGGGTATCGAGAAGATTGAAGGAATACTGTATGAAGAGCGCATCGTCCATTCAACATGCCAGGATTACCTCGGCACCTTTGGTTGCGAATTGTAAAAAAGCTATGGGTCAGTACAAAAATCATCAGAACCCTACCTGGGTGTCATGCAGACTTCAATGAGACCGTCATTTTCCTGGAGATTTGTCTGTTTGGACGGTCCAGTTGTCCATTTTGTTGTTGTATCGTTACGCCGAGAGTTCGCCGATTGCATCACCTGCACAACGCGCAAAGCCTGCCAGCCCTAGATCCGGATAATGTGCAGAAGCATATCATGGGAAGTTAGTGGAAGGATGTACGAAGTTTAAGAGCGACGACGCTTGACGTCTGCGACATTGTTAATTTCCCCACATATCCTCAGTCTTTTACCGGCTTGCAGCGTACCTTTCTCAGCTTCATCATCCAGCAGGTCGTCCACATCCGACCGGGGGCGTTTGCCCACGACCGCAGGGGACTCCGAAACTTCGTCATCGCCTTGCCCAGGGAACTCTCTCCAGTCAATTTCCTCCAACTCGTCATCCTGACCTTCAACGTCGGCCCCGTCGTTCTCGTTGATATCGTTCTCGCCCACGTCGGCGTTCAAATCGAGCTCGTTGTTTTCGTACGTGACTTCATCGCCGTTCAAGGTTGAAGTTGCGCTGGTGTTAGGGGTTACCTTGTTCGTCGCATTTTCATTGGTAGCTTCGATAATTTGGTCCACGAGGGCTGCGCTGTCTTCGTCATTCGGCCACTGCGGATCGTTCTCAACGGCGTTGAGAAGGTCCACTTCGTCTTCCGCATCCGTGTTGACAAGTGGGTTAGAGTCGTCGATTTCTGGTACTTGGAATGAATCGTCAGCGTTTGTTGTTGAAGAAAATGCCATGCTAACATCCGAACGAGAATGTAAATGCCGTATATGAGAGCGGGGAAAGCCCTCAATGGGAACTTCCAGAGAAGGAACATGAAACTGTGTTGACTGGTGATTTTGAGCAGTCTGCCTTGTATTCCGCACCAGAGATGCGTAGGCGTAGTCGTTATCTGCCATGTCATCTGTGGTGTAGGCTGAGGCGCACTCAACGCAGAGACAGAATTGGGGATAAAAGCAGGGGTCAGATAAAGAAGAGTCGGGATTACCATTTTCCCCAGATGTCTGAGGCTCCTGGTCCTCCATCACCTCTGTCATTGCGTTGCTTTCGACGACATCTGTGTCTGCGACCACAGTCGATTCATCCAACAAATTGATGTCCGTATCAACCATAGTCGCCTCGCCATCTAGGTCTTCAACAACGGCGGTAAGCTCTGCGTCAAAGGCGCTCTCATCAACTGTATCGTCGACCTTCGTGGCATCATCATCTTCTTCAGCAATACCAGTCCCAACGTCGTCATCTTCGTTGGCTGCTTCTTCCAAGGCGCTAGGAATATCTTCATCTAGGTCTTGAGCTTGAGCATCGTCCTGGTCGTCATGCTTGCTTTCAGCAGGTGAGTCAGGCCAAGCGGCGGCATCCGCGTTGTCGTCTTCTCCAACCATGCCCGGTTCATCATCCAGTATCTCTGGCGCGGCCATTTCGCTTTGTGCCTGAGATGCGAAGTAATAGCTCACCTCGTCAAGTCCCTTGCCATTGTAGGCATCATCGACGAGAGATAGCCACCTCTTCTTGCAGTTTGGCCGTGTGACTAGCAAGGCATACAACGGCTTTGAGGCATCGGCATCCTGGTTCTTGACCAGAGAATCAAACACGGAAATGACTTGACCCAGGGTAATATCAGAGATCAAATCTGGCTGGGTAGACTTGGACTCTGTTAGTAACGTCCCAGCAAATTTCCCAGTATGACAACTTACTTCGGCAAACTCAAGTCCCAACTCGTCAATTTGGAACACCAGTTCGTCGAAGGGACCCAGTTCGTTAGCAAGCTCACGACGGAAACCTGCAAGCACGCCTTCCATCTTGCAATGCAAAAGGGACAGATCGTCAAAGAAGCACTCCTTGCCTTCGCTGTCCGGCGAGTTGTAAAAGAAGGGATATTCAACACCCTTGTAGGAAACAGTTACAGCGGGGATCTCAGTGTCGTCATTCGAAGGTGCATCATCGGAGTCCGGTGACTGGACGTTCGCAAGCAGCTCATCTTCATAATCCATGCGATCATGGATGGAAGTGTCTTCGCCAGTCGCCGTGTACTCTTCTGCATCATTTGCCTGGCCAATCAGGTCTTGGTTGTGGGTATTATCTTCCTCTTCTTCTTCGACGGCAACAACACTATCTTCTGCTTCATGCGAAGAGAACGATCCGTCATTTTCATCAATGGCACGATCCGTATCTTCGCGGTCGGAATGGGTGTTTCTGACGTCTTCCTGGTCGAGAACATTGCTTTCCGGTTGCATCTCGGCGGCTGTGTCCATAGATGCATCCACAGCGGCGTTGCTGTCGTCGAAGTAGTCTATCTCGTGCAAATCACCATCCGCGTCGGCGCCTTGAAGGTCAGAAATCTGCTCTTGCAAAAGTGGCTCGGCATCTGCTCCACTAAGTCCTTGGGTGTTATCATGAACGTTCTCAGCATTGCCAGTGGACTCATGAGCATCTTCTTCATCTCCTTGTGGCTTCTCTTCAGTGTCCGCTATGCCTTTGGGCAGGTCCGATTCTTCCTCGGCCAAGTGTATATCATCGTCAACAAGCTGCCAGTCGCTCTTCTCGGCGTCAAGGTGGGCATCGCTTGCGTCTCCAGCTTGGTCGTCGTTGCCATCTTCCCAGCTGATTTCGTTATCGTTAAATGACAAGTCTTCAATATCCTGAGGCGCTTGGTTGACCATGGTGGCACTCTCGGAGTTGCTTGCTTTGAGCAAATCTTGGCCACTGCCATCCGGCAGGGCATCGCTGGCCACTGTAGTAACCTCAACTGCCTGCAAATCGATAGATTGGTCGTCTACTTGTACGGATTCTGCTGCCTCCTCGTAGTTCTCAGTGACAAGATGGGCGTTGGCCGAGAATGAGGTGCGGTTGGAGTTCTGGGCTGCAACGGCAGGGGCCGCTGCGTCATCTTCGGAATAATCGATGTACTCCTCATGACCTTGAGCTTCGAAGCTCGGCGGCGGCACTGCTTCTGCCGCCATGTCCTGAGGTTGGTAGGGATAACAATTCACTTGGAAACTTTTATCGTGGTAAATAAGTTGAAGGTTCTCGAGAGGAGTCAGGAACGGATTTGGCGCGCCGGTGGTGGTCGGTAATGTTGGGGGTTCGTGGCTCGGATACCCGGTCAAGCTTGGGGAACTCCAGCAGGGTAACTGGGAGAGGCGCGTCGGCTGAAAATGTGTCGAAGATTGAGAAGGTGAGGTTGTTTGAGTAGAAGTTCGAAAATATTTTTGTGAGGCCAACTATTTGGTCATGCCCTTGGACAGAGGGATGGAATGAACAAAGAGTGGTTGGTGGATGGCAAGTGAGGCCAAGCAGGATGACAAGGTGGAGTCCAACCGAGGCGCGTGGAAATTTAAAAATGGCCTGGGCGACACCCCTCTACGTTCCTTAAGCGCAGCTTGACGCGCCTGTAGCTGGAGCTTGAGCCTTCCCCTTTTAGGACTAGACCGGGCCGCTGTACGTAAGGCCAGCTTGGTCCGTGCACTGGCCAGATTCACACATTCGGACCTCAATATTCAAGCTCCCTACGGCGATGTGGTCCCGTCCCTCCTTAGGCCTGGGACCTTGAGTTGAAGTTGCGACAACCTATCTACATCACCAATTCGTCCAACCAACAGTCACAACACTCCACCCAAAATGGTGCTTGGTTTTCCCCATTTAAGTTGTTCAATGTTTCTCGATACTGACTGTCCTAGGTTGTCCTTGCGGCGTCGATCTGCACCCGAGGCGGGAAAGCTGTCCTCTCCCGCCAGTTCAGGGAGATGCCACGATCCCGCATCGAAGCCCTCCTCGCGTCCTTCCCTAAACTGGCCGACAGCGGTACCCAGCACACCACCGTTGAGCAGGACAATGTGCGCTTTGTCTACCAGCCGCTCGATGAGCTCTACATGGTCCTCATCACCAACCGACAATCGAACATCCTCCAGGACATCGACTCCCTCCACCTGTTCGCGCAAGTTGTCACCAGCACATGCAAGAGCCTCGACGAGAGGGAGATTGTCAAGAATGCCTACGAACTTCTCAGCGCCTTTGACGAGCTGGTGACCCTTGGTTACCGGGAGAACCTGACCATCAGCCAGATCAAGACCTTCCTTGAGATGGAGTCTCACGAGGAGCGGATCCAGGAGATCATTGCGAGAGTCAGTCAGCTCAGCTGCCGAAATGACCAGAAGATAGCTAACAAATCCTGCAGAACAAAGAGCTCGAGGCTACCGAGGAGCGCAAGCGCAAGGCCAAGCAACTGGAGATGCAGCGCAAGGAGTCGGCTCGCGCAGGCCGCGTCGGCGGCGGAATGCCCAGAACCCCCGTATACCCGACCTACACTCCCCCTACTCGCCCGACCACGACGGACACATACGATTCGTACGAGGCCGAGAAGAACAAGACCTTCAACAAGTGAGTATCCGAGCTGCAGGATCGGGTAGTGGCAAACAGTAGCTGACGTTCGCAGGCTGAGTGCCCCCAAGGGCAAGGGTATGCAGTTGGGCAAGAAGTCCAAGACGACCGACATGTTCGAGCGTGTTCGTGGCGAGATGGGCGCCGAAGTCGACGACACGCCCCTTATCACTCCGGCGCCCGCCCACGCCTCGGAGCCAGCAGCCGAAGCTCGTGTCTCCTCAACTTTGGATCGTGACGCGATTCACATCGTCGTCAACGAAGCCATCAGCGCCAAGCTATCACGAGAGGGTGCTCTGAACTCTCTGGCAATTAGCGGTGACCTTAACCTCCGCATCTCCGACCCAAGTTTGACCAAGGTCAAGTTGAACTTGACGGCAAACCCTTCCCACGGTGCCCAGTTCCGTACGCATCCCAACGTCGACAAGAACCTGTTCAACAGCTCCAAGGTTATTCAGATGAGCAACACTGCTCGTGGTTTCCCCACCAACCAGTCGGTGGGTGTTCTCCGCTGGAGAGCAACGGCCAAGGCGGACGATACCAGCGCTTGCCCAATCACTTTCACTGTCTGGATCAACAAGGATGCAGACAAGTACAACATGACAGTGGAGTACGAGTTGACAGGCGGCGACACGCTCAAGGACGTCAGCGTCATTATCCCGTATCAGGCCAGCGAGCCTGTGGTGTCGAGCTTCGACGCTTCATACGAGGTTTCCGGCGACTCTCTGGAGTGGAACATCGGCACTGTGTCAGAAGATAACCCAAGCGGATCGTTCGAGTTCGAGGCTGAGACAAACGACGAGAACGACTTCTTCCCCATGACGGTCAGGTTCTCGAAGACGACGCCCTTCGTGGATGTTGATGTAAGTGATCGTATCCTGACGGTGGGAGAACCAGCAGCTAACGAATAAAATAGGTCCTTGGTGTGTCTTTGCTCGAGGAGGATGAGGAAGTGACCTTCTCTAAGGATATCAAGTCTCACGCTGACAATTTCTTGATCGAGTAAAAGGCGCAGGCTACTCTGGACAGGTGTGCAGTGGTCAGTCAGGGGTTCTAAAAGTTGAGCGCCAAACCAGGAGTTTCCGAGCAGCGGTTTGACTTGTTAGACAATATTTGCCATGATACGTGGCTGCATGATATGAAACGTACTTAGAATACAGGATGTGAAGCTCCTGAGAGAACAAGCTGTCTGATGCTATGCTTTTTTTTGATATCAATGTCTTGCAATAACCAGGTAGGTTGTCAGTATCCTTGTGAGGGTTGCTGTGCAAACGTGGTTGAGCTGCAATTAAACGATCACGGTGCAGCTGCCTACCTCTGACCGGGAGATACAGCGTCTTAGGCCCCCGCCAGTTTAGGGAGCCACACCTAGCTACAGACCCTCCCACCTTCCAGTGTCTTACCTTAGGTACGGTACCTAACGTAGGTACCTACTAGGTATTCCTACCCGTGGACCCAAGCTGCTCACAGCTGTAGCTGCGTACAACGAACCTCAGAAAAAGAGGCAGGCGACATGCAACAATTGATTAATCTGGCTGTTTAGAGTCCGCACGGAACATACATCAACCCAGCAACTTACGGAGATCAAAATTCGATTGTGCTTCTCACCCTCTTGTCATTTGACCACAGAACTTTCTTGCAGGGCCCAGACACGGTAATGTCTGCTGGCTGCTCTTTGACTTTATCACGAACAGCTTCGTGTTTGCGCCATGGCTGAAACAATGCAACTTCGACCCTTCAGCGAGACCAGGTTTGACCATCGCGTCATCGATGGCTTCCCTCCCAGCAATCCGACGGTGGACCTATCGGTCAGCTGGGACCCGTCCGGGAAGAACCTTCTCATATATCGGCCCAAGGACCAGGTCGTCTCCAAGATACACCAGTTCGCAAAGCCCGGCGAGACAGCACCAGAGCCCCAGGCAGTGAGATGGAAGCCTGATGGTGAGTTGACTTTGAACGAGACACATTTGAACACTTCTGACGACAAGGCAGGTCATTTTTTGGCGGTAGGCTGGAGTGACGGTTATGTGAGACTGATGGGTCTTGAGAATAACAAAGCTGCCCACCACATTCGCGTTGGCGGTGATTCGGACTCTGCTACTACGATCACTCACATCGGCTGGTCACGCAACGTTGTCGGGGAGCAACGAGCTCAACGCCAGCTAGCCGACGCGCAACCATGGAAGAAACTTATGTCTGAGGAGCTGAACCTGCCGGGGAAGCAAGACCCGTCAGACCTGCCTCGAGAACTAACCTTTCTGGAAGTCGATTCGGCTCTGCCCAAGATCAGTCCTCTTCCCACATCTAGCGCTGGATCCGGGTGCGTCCGCTCGCTTTGCTTGTTGCAAACATACTGACCCTGATATAGGGAGGACAGCCTCGTTTTCACGCTACGAACGGGTGTCGAGTTTCTGTTCCAGCCCTTCAACGTCGCCGACAGCGATCAGGTTTTCGTGATGGTCGTTGGAACCAGTGACGGCCGTCTTCACCTTAGCATATACGACTCGTTTATCATCGGCGACTTCCGGTATACTCTTCCGAGTTCCATGTACAAGCCGGGCGTGCTGCAGCTCATCCAGCACGCCTCTCATCCAGAGATCTCTACACACTCGCTTATCCTAAAGTCTTCTGTAGATGGCGATCCGGCAGTCTATCTGGTTCCAATGGACTTGCCATTCGTTCCTTCGTCTCCCATCAACATCTCTCTCTTGGCGTCCAAACTAACAACACTGCAAAAGCTGCTGCGGTACGTAAAGCAAGCGCAGCTACACATGCAGGTTGAATACAAGAATACGCGAGAGCTCCCCACGAGGTTCCTGCGCAGTGTTGAGGGAGATTTAGAGCAGGCCACGCATGGGCCGACGAACATCGTCCAGGCACTGTTCCACACAGTTGTCACCGGTCACGCATACGAGCCTGTTCGAGAATGGCTCGTCGACAGTCTTGCCGAGCGCGTAAGTACTTCAAATTGTGTATAGGGCCGCGTTGCTGACACATTCCAGGGCCATAAACGATGGGACAAAGCCGTAACCTCTGGGCTAGAAAACCTACGGTGTCTTCTGCACGAGAATCTCCTGCCCGTACTTGAGAGATGTGCCATCATACTCAGCCGCCTTCGAGGACTGGCCCAGTTCTATGATACCCGCGATGACATTGGCTTTTCAGTCGCCCAAATCAACCGGGCCATGGATATTGTATCCTGTCTGAACATGGTCGGCCACAAGATCCTCCTCAACGTCATGGATGAGCTTGATCTCTTCAATGCCTTCTCTTCGTGGATGCGCTTCCAGATTGACCGCCTCGCCGCGTCGAGCTCTTTCAGCGACGAACTGACAGAGAAGGAAGCAACCATGGAAAACAGCAAAGTTCTTGCGTACATACAGCGTTACTTGATGGAAAGCCCCATGGCTGTCTTTCTCGACGAAGTGACCAAAGAGGACTACGCGAGCAACTGGGAACGTGCCGAAAGCGGAGCTTCAATGCTTGATGAACTTACTACGCAACTTGCTCGTCAGGAAGAGGGTCATGCATACCTCAAAGCCTTTCCGAATGTAAGCTTCCTCGTCGACTGTCTGACCTCACGTTCCAATGGAATATTCGGCGATATTGCCGAAGCACAAAAAAGGAGCGTTCGCTTCGGACAACCAACCAAGGTCGTGCTGGGCAGCAAGGTCGCCAAGTTGGACTCTGCGATGTACCCAACGAAGGCAGAGGTAAAATTAGCGAAGAAAAAAAAGCCTTTAAGGATTGGCGACTAACTTTCCATAGGACGGCGTCGATGGACTATCCTTCCTGGCTACTATGGCAAAGGGTCGGGATCAAGAGTGTGAGTTTGCGTTCCCGCAACGTTATGCCCATGTAGTTTTTCTGATTTGCAAGCAGTTTACATCTTCCGCACATCTATCCGAATCATCAACGGCATCAGCAGCAACGTCGACACGACCGTTTCAGCAGTCTCAATAGATGAGGGCAAGATCGTCGACCTCAAGTTCCTGAACGGCAACACCCTTATTCTGCTTGTCAGCAAACAAGGCAATCAATCCAGCATCATCACCATCCCCATTCAATCACAGGCTCTCAGCTACACACACTATGAGGAGAGTAACCTCCCCAGTCCTACGCAGCTTTCTAGCCCCATGGGACAATGTACCGCAACAACTCTTCCTGAGGACTCATCGTTCGTGCCGGTGCAAATGGATGTCCAAGACGTCACGTCAGCGCGGGGCGAAATGCCTATCCGCATTTGCCTCCTCGGTTCAAACCGCTCCACGTACAAGGTCTTTGCACTTGAACTCAAGTCTAGTCCTGGTGTGGTCCAGGCGGAGGCCCCCCAGCCGGTGACTCCGCGACGAGGTGGTTAGAAGACGCCCGTTACGTTGTCTCCGGGAAACATGTTCAAGGTGGCGCCAAAGAGGTTCACGCCACGGAGCAAAAAGCGCATGGGTATTCTGGCATCTCGTTTGGAGTCTTCAACGCTGGACGAGTTGGCAAACATGGAATAGATTATGCACTCGAATCGATCTCAGGTAGAGCACTCGAGACCATAGAACTAGGAAATGGAAGAGAAAAGCATGTTGATATTGGTTTGAAAAAAGACGTATTATACAGCATGGCCCCCCCTTTCTCTCTCTCCATTCGTACCGCTTTCTGGCTCGCTCACTTCCTCGACTTGGTGATCTCGAAAAACTCGGTGACACCCTGTACCACAGCCTCCACATTCATGTTCACGAGCGGCATGCGGTCGTAGGAATCCTCCTTCATGATGGCGACGAGGGCCAGGTACCGATCGACCTCGCGCAGCATGATGGGGCGCTGGGAGTCGTGGAGCACCATGCAGCTCTCGGCCCAGTTGCACGCGACCTGGTCCTCGACTTTGGCGTTCCACGGTTCCGCCTCGAGACGTTTGCGCTGGCCCTCGGAGCGCGGCCAGGAGCCGTACACCTCGGTGATGTCGATGATGACGTCAATGTAGTCGGAGCAGATCTCGTAGCTGGCCATGTCGGCCGTTGCCGAGTCCGTGGCGATGTAGATCTTGGACAGCACGTCGAACAGGTACGCCTTTTCGAAGCGGCACGTGCGGCACAGGTTGGTGAGCATGGCTTCCAAGGTGCCGAGCTGCGGGATGAGCTTCTGGATGACCTTGGAGAAGGCCTCAAAGATGGAGTGGTTGTAGATGGACGTCAGGTGGAAGGTGACGGGGGCGTTCTCGAAGCCGTGGTCCGAGAGCTCGTCCTGGATGCGGATGGTGATGTCGCGCTGGATGTCGAGCTTGTAGTCGTCCGACAGGCCGTCGACCTTGTGGATGAAGACCTCGATGTTGATGTTTGGGTAGAAGCGCTGGAGGTTGAGGACGGTGGCGTTGAGGCGGGCGACGGCCTCGAGGTAGTCGTCCTGGGCGTCGATGACCCAGATGAGGGCGCCAATCTCGCCAAAGATGGCGTCCATGTCAAAGTTTGGGTTCTCGAAAAAGTCGATCTGACCAGGAAAGTCCCAGACCTGATAGTCCATGAAGGATCTGAGGCTGTTAGTGGGATGGGGCAAGTTGAAGGCGAGGAGGGAGGGAGGAGTTTCTTACGCCATAGAGTCCTTTTGGATACGCGCTGTGGATTCGAGGAAAAGCGTTTCGTTTGGTGGGAGCTTGTGGAAGACGACGCTCGATATTGACGACTTGCCACTCCTGTTACCAGTCAACGCGATGCCCGTATGCTGCGGTCGAACGGGAGTAGACTCACCTTCTCTGGCCCATTAGGAGAAGCCTGGGCTTCCCCTTTCCCGGAGGCCCCGGGGGACCTTCTAGCGGCTTGTTCGCATCTTTTGCCTGTGCTCCTTGAAGACTCTGATCGTAGACACGTTGGAGCGTTAGCCTTGCTGGACTGAGACTACCACTTGTTTGGGGATGCTCTCGTTGGGGAGAGAAGCCCATGCCGTCGACCGCTTGGGACAGCAATGAAGCAACGGAATCGGGCGATGTAGACGAAGCCATCCTGAACGACACGCGCCGTGTCCTTTGGTATGCGATGTCGCCGATTCACACACTTTTGGGGTGAAGGGGCTTCTTTCTAGTATCGCTCAATATTCCTTCCACGTCCTCGATCGCTGTTTGCCAGTGTCTCGGGAAGTTTGATGCCACAGACCGGCAAAGCCCATATGTTTGCACGGGTTCCTGGCGGAAAGACCAACCGGGAGCCCGACGACGGTCCGTGGCGGGACAAGTGATCAGACTACCACCGAACGACGACGCCGAGCAATCCTCGAGGTCATCGAATTCATCCGTCGTCCTTCAAGGCAGGGTAGCCCCCTCGAATACGACCACCCTGACGGATGCGCGCAGCTGAAAGGAAACCACACGGCGAGGCTTGGGCATCTTCGTAAACCGAGGAAAAAGAAAGATGAGCCATCTGCATTCGAGAGATGCTCGCCTGCTCAAACCAAGCGCAAGCCCCCCTCTCGAGTTCAATCCCAGCCATGGACTCGAAGCGCTGCGCGTGCTGATCTCACCGTCGCACAACGCCACATCATCCATGACACCATGCCTCAGCCAACCCGCTTCATCTGGCGAGGCCAGGTGGACGATCGGGGGGTTAAGTACAGGAGCGGAGGGGGAAGGTACCGTTGGACAACAGGATCCCAGTCCATTTTCGACTGTTATCCATTCATGACTTGAGAGGAAGATGTCCTCCTAATACGCAAACCAGGACGCATTGTAGCGCGACACGTCCCCCGCTGAAAGCCGTGTGAAGTTAAGAGAAGCCGTCTTCGACCATGGACATCCAACCCGAGCAAAAATACAGAAGGTAAGACTCTACAAGCAGCTCGCCTAGCCGAACAGGGGGGAGGAGGGGGATGCGAGGAAAGATGCAGCAGCATACGTGACGACAGACGGTAAACATTAAGAAATACGACCGATTCTCACCTCCATTTTTTCCTTGTCTGAGCCTCACTCTGCGGCTGAAAGGGGGTGTCAAATACGCCGCTGAGAAAAAGCTCCCCCAAGCTGACCACTTCAAACCACAGCAGCAGCAGCAGCGACAACCGCACCGATGCCCAGCAATCAGGCCCCGTAACCGATCGAACGAGATTGACGGTCCACTGATGCCCAAGTCGTTACGAGAAGACCAAAACAAAACGTTAACGTCCAAATAGATCCGTTTCAATGCGAAAATAACAATTTCCGTTGCAGTCGAGTTGCCAAAGGACCGGCGCACACCAGCCTATCACGGGATTCGATGTAGGCAGGTCACTAATCCGCAGATGTGGAGCGGGTAAGGTGAACGACGGGGTGAAGCAATTGGCAGTTGAGCACGAGGTGGGAAGGATGACGATGCAGCGTGCTTCCGATAAGATAACAGTTCGCGGGTACTGCAGACGGGACCCATTTAATTTAGGCGAGACCACATCCTGGCTACTTCATCCGACTACCTACGACCTGCCACCCAAACCACCAACCAGCGCTTTCATCCTGTCATCAGCATTAGTGCTTGCCTGTCCTCTGTCACATTGTCACTACATTTTAATGTTTCTGATTTGGCCAACATCGTTGTGCAATCATTCAACCAGCCCGTCATGGAAATATGACAGAACCAGCGGGGAATCGGTCACATTGATCAGACCAAAATATCCGAATGCTTGTGTAGCAATCAATGAATTGAGACTCTACACCTGCTCCTACTCATGCTTCCAAGTATTAGACAATACAGATACCATTACAGAATAAGCGCCCCTAGACTATGACCGAAGGCCGCCCCAGGCAGGCTGGTATGCAAAACTCCCTCTCCCAGTTTTTACGATGCAGTGCTCCGTTGTTTCCGACCTTACAATCTAAACCACTGCCTTGATTCCGACAATGAGTGCAGCACAAAGGAAATTATAGTTGAAGAACGTTGTGAGTCCGTCTAAGAAACGGTCGGCATCGGAGAGGGAGTGTTCCTACCACGCGAGAACAGCGAGGTCACGAAGCTGCTCTTACGTTTCGCCGTCTTGGACTTTTTGGCAGGGGCAAGGCTGCTGGTGTTGGTAGGAGCCTTCTCGACCTGCTTGATGGGCGCATCCTTCTCATCGGTGGTTGTAGTAGTCGTGGTGGTAGCGTTCTGGACATGTTGCTCAGGAATAGCAGGAATAGGGGGCGCATCGGTTGCGCTATGAGGAGGAGTGAGCTCATTAGGAGGGGGCATCACTGAATCTCTTCGTGGTGCGACCGACTCTCTCCTAAAGTCAAAGATGGATCCCTTCCTAGGGCCGGCAATGGAGCCATGACGAAGAGCAGAGACAGACTGCATCAAGTTAGTTATCCGTTCTCTTTGTTTGTGAATCTCTGATGTCTTACCTTAGCACTGATGCTCTTACGGTTGCGTGCGCGGCGCTCAGCAATGGTTTCTTCCTCCTCGCCGGTCATCTCGGCAATATGGGCAGCCACGGTCTTGCTGTTGACGGCCATGTTCTCTGCAGGAACCTCGATAAACTTGACGAATCCGCGGACGGGCGAAACACCAATGGCTTCTTGCAAGTGCTTCTGGAGCAGGGCGGCATTCCTCTTATTCTTAGTGACGCCAACCTCACACGACAGAGCATGGACTGTCATCGTGTAGGCAGGGTCAAAAGTTCCGCCAAACATCATACAAGCACCATGTTGCAGGTTCACCACGATGGACGACACTGGCCGCTGATACCTAACAGAGAGCTGGTACGAAAAGTCCGTGATGAAACTGAATTCATCACTAATCTGGGAGGGAGTCAGTCACGGAAGGTCAGACATCGGCAAGTCGAAACACATACGATGACGTTGGTGCGGAGTTCAGCCATGACAATAGCTTCGCTGTAAGCACGATCCTTGAGGACGTTGATGTCTCTATCACCCTGGAAAGCCTCCTCATAGTAAGAGCTGCGGCGTCGAGCCAGGTCGGTTTGGTTCTTAGACTTCCTGTTGTTTCGAACGTCGCCGGGCAAGGAGTGGTTGACGTCTCGGGTTCCCTCGCCGGCCTCGACAATAGGGGTCGGCGCGGTAGATGGCCGGCGACTCATTCTCCTCTCGGCAAAAGACATTCCGGCGCCGGCTGCGATGGAAACACGCTTGTTGTTGTTGTTGTTGTCGGGAGTAACTGGCGTGGAGTTGACCTTTTCGTTGATGCTGCCGGTCGTGGTGGATTCTTGCGGGGAAGAAGGCGGAGACAGAGCCATTTTCAAGGGACGATGGGGAGGGTCGAAGCTGGGATAAAAGGCGGCTGCAGGTGTGTGTGCTTGGAGCTCGTGGGGGATGTATCAGACGTGGTCGTTTGGGAGCGGCGTCTTACTAGCAGCGGCCGTGTTAGTCTCAACCCAACACCCAAAAGCCTATCTAGCTTGACACGTACCGAAAGAGGCGCCGGCCGAGATATTGTTCAAGCGATACTAACAACCGCGTTGGTCATCAACTAGGGCCCCCTGGGACTTGGCGCAATATCTTCAGCTGTCAAGCTGCAATGGAGATAGGTCGTGCACTGGCGAAGGGCAGAAATCGTCTTACTCGCGATGGCAAGGTCCGGAGGAAGACGTTGCGATGAGGAGGAAGGCGCAAGTCGTGTTGGATGCGAAGATGCCGCCACTGAAGCAACCGAGTGCCGATTGTGTGGTCTCGTGATGCACAAGACGTGGACGGCGGTGGATATTGTTTGGTGGTGATGAGTTGCGAGGGTTCAGCGGGAAACAAACAACTAGACGAACGAATAAAAAAGCTGGTGTGACGGTACGGTGACTGAAGGAGACTATTATATCAGGACGAGGACAAGAGATGCGAGGGCTGGAGCTAGCTGGGATAGTACACCACCGCAAAGAGCTACGACGGCCGCGAGTCGTTGGGACGGAATCGATGCAAGAGGCGGATAGCCACTCAGAACCGCGAGATGATGGTCGAAAACGGAAACAGCCAAGGCTCGATGCACGCACCTAGGTAGGTCTTTCTTCCCATGCTCGACGAGCCCGGTTTCAATGCAAGACAAGACAGGTCGATCAAGTTGAACGGAAGGAGGAAAGAGGGAGAAGGAAAGCGGTTTGGGCTGGACTGGACAGGACAGTACGGGCTTACCTCACCTGCCTCATCTTTGGTGTTGGTACTGGTCCCTGGGTTTGCCTCTGCCTCGTGTCCTTGGACGACCAAGGCAGAGTCTCAACTCTCAATCCACGCCGTGCGCTAACGAGCCAAATCATTCTTTGATCTCCTCACTAGGCAACTATGTTAAGGAAGGATAGGGCATCGCTCCTGCCGGGGGGAGTCCCTCAGTTTGATGGATCCAACGGGATCTGGAGGCATCGCCGTGTTACCCAACTCCCTGCGCCTGGACTGTTCTGTGCTTGTTGCCAGGGTTCCTCTGTTGATTGCGACTGTGAGGTTCCCTCGAGGTGTGTGTGTGTGGCATGCGGTAGCAACCGAGCCCATACGCATCATCCCATTACGCCTTCACCGTCCTTCGCCTTGGAGACGGGAGTTCCTGAGGCTGTTTCCGCAGTGTCCAGATGTGTGCGGCCGAAGCTCTGCGACAAGATAGATTTTCTGAGATTCCGCAGGACTGGAGCGGTGCCGCCTCCACATCCAAAGTGGCATGGATGGCACTGGAGACATTGTCGAGGGCAGTCCAGCACGCTAGTTTGTGACTAGGCATCGGGACGACAGGGTCCAGGACCATCGTGTCGCCTTGGAATGCATGGCGGGAACCCCATTTGAGCTACTTCTCTTTGTCGTCGGTCGGGCATCAGGTAGAATGGAAGAATAGGAGA